GAGGCGAGAGCTTGTCCGCGGAGGTGTCGCGGACAAGAGCCAAGCACCCCCAGACACGAAACCTCGACGCGACACCAGGGGACCCTGTCCAAAGACTGGTCGGTGAAGCCTCCGGCCGAGAGACGCGTGGCCAGAGGTTCAGCTGGTGCGCGGCGTACCTGACTGCGTATGGCCACAGGAAATGGGGGGCACGGGCGTGAGTCAAGGAGGTGCGGGCAATCTCCATGACCAGGCCTATGCGACGCTCAGCAACCCCATTCTGCTGTGGGGACTCCGGAAGCGTCCAGGACTGACGAATGCCCTGTTCGCGACAGAATCCAGCGAGAATGCCGGAGCGAAACTCGCCCCCGCGGTCGGAGTGGAGACAGCTGACACGACGACCACGAGTGTCCTGGGTGGTAAGCAACCACCTGATCAGCGTAGAAGTCACCTCAGACTTCCTCGCCAGGGGGAACACTGTGGTGTAGCGGGAGTAGTCGTCAACGACCACCAAAAAGAAACGCTCACGCTCAGGGCCAGGGCGAGGAGAGGGGCCCCAGACGTCCAAGTGCAGTGTCTCAAAGGGCTCGGTGGCCGGACGAAGGGAGGAGGAGTGAGGGGTGGCACGCAGCCTACCCTCGACGCAAGGACCGCACGGTGGTGCAAGGGACGGCGGCAGCGACGGCAAGACACGCGGGAGACCTAAGACCAGACGCTGACTAGACATAGCACGCAGACGTGGAAGAGAAGGGTGTCCCAGCCGGTGGTGCCACAGAACGGTGGGGTGGGCAAGCGACCGACAGGAGCAAGACGCAGCGACTGGACTGGACGCGACAACCTGAGAGGACGGAACCACCTGGTGAGACGCAGGGAGGAGACTAGGGGGAGGGACAGGAACTGGGAGGAGGGGCTGCTGTGACGGCGGCCGCTGTGGCTGCGGCTGCTGCTGCTGCCGCTGCTGCTGCTGCGGCTGCTGCTGCTGCTGCTGCTGCTGCTGCGGCTGCTGCTGCTGCTGCAGTCGCTGCTGAGCGCGCGGGCCAGTGTGAAGAGTGTAGAGACCGGAGCCCGGCTCAGCAGCAAAAGTGGCGAGGGGCTGGTAAGAGTCCCCGTCAACACACACCGCAGTCTCTCCAGAAGGCTCAAACCACACACCCACGTGCTGACTCACAAGGGGTCGCACGCCCACCAAGTTCCGGGAGAACGAGGGGACGTGAAACCCAGTGAGAGACCCAGAAGGAGCAGCCGGACACGGCAAGGTGGTAGTGTGACGCGCGGTGACTGGTCCCGAAGTGGGATCAGCCAGCGCCACAGAAACAGGCGCAGGAAGAGGCGTAAGTGTCGTGCTGTCACGAAAGAAGCAGTGAGAGGCTCCAGAGTCCAGCGTGAACGACAGCGAACCGTCCTCTGAGGTAGCCGCTGGACTAGAGTCTACACAAGAACCTACACTAGCAACAGGCAACTGAGCAAGGCTAGCACCTAAGCTAACAACACCAGAGTAAGCAGAGTCAGAAACACTAGAGTCAACAACAGCATACATAGCATGAGGAGCACCAATCAGATCAACTAACTGCTCAGCAGACATGCCCCACAGAGCGGAGCCGTAGCGCTGAACCAGAGGAAGCCAGTCAAGGGCAGGACCGCCAACCCCGTAGGCCAACCGGACCGTGTCAGTGAGCTGAGCAAAGCACTGACCAGGGGGGTGAAAGCGGCCACAAGGGTGGCCCCGACGAGGACCTGTCAGAACCTGATAGGTGCAGGGAGGGTAAGCAGCACCACGCTGGGGCTGACGCAGCCCCGACCCCGGAGCCAGCTGCTGACGCTGCTGCTGCTGAGGCTGCTGGGAGGAGAGGGGCTGCTGCTGCTGCTGAAGCCGCTGCTGACGCTGAGCCTGGTACCACGCCGCTGCTCCACCTAGCGGGGCCGGCAGTACAGGAGACGACTGACGAGCTCGGGCGTCGCCACCACCAGCAGGCGCAGTGGAGTCACCAGCCGCTGCACGAGAGGTCTCTCCAGACGCTGCACTCCCACCACCGCCAGTCGCAACAGCACCCCCACTACCTCCGCTACCTCCGCCTCCACCTCCACCAGAACCACCTTTCTTGCCCCCCTTGCCGCGGGACCGCGACGCAGTCGTAGCAGCAGCTGCAGTCGCGTCAGTAGCGGCAGTGGCAAGAGAGGCAGTGAAGGTGGGTAACTGCGGGACTGTGCACCCGTGGAAGAGTGGGGGGGGCACAGCACCAGAGGCGGCAGCTACCGAGCGAAGGTTGCTCTCGACGTCCTTGAGCGCAGACTCAAGGACCTCAACTGTCAGCTCACTAGGGTGCTTCAGCAGAAGCGCGTCACGTACGGAGGCAAGGCGGTCAGGGAGGCTAGTGGCGATGAAATAGATAGTAATCGCCATGGGGGGAGGAAGCAGTGCAAGCTGTGCCTCAGTGCAAGCAGCGCGGTAACTAGCGTCGAGCGAGCGGAGGTGAGCGATCAAGTCAGCAGAGCGCTCAAACGAGGCGAGATCAGGAAACAGGAACGGGAGGAAAAGACGGCCAAGAGAGACAGTAGCGGGAGTAGAGTAGCGGGCCTTAATCGCAGTGAGGTACGCAGCAGCGGTGCGAACCTGAGTGAAGTGGACCTCCTCTGACTCAGGGAGGAGGCTGCTGAGTGCGATGCAGGCCGCAGCGTCACGTGACGTCCAAGCCGTCCTGTCAGCGCGCTGACGGGCAAAGCGAGCCGTAGCAGCATCGTCAGGGGCAGGACCTAAAGCGGCAGGCTCGGGGGGCTCGGGGAGGTCACCAGTAGCGTGCGACCAGAGGGTCTCGCCCCCCTGGACTTGACTCTCTAACAGACGGCGAGCACGAAGAAGCCAGACGGAAAAGTCAAGAGGTCTACCGTCAGCGTCGAAACGAAGAACTCGCGGAGTCGCCATAGCGAAAACTAACGCGAACGAGCAGGCGAGTAACAGCAGGAGGTAAGAGGCAAATTAGGGTGCAGGTGGGACTTAGTCGCAGCGGAAGAGCGGGCTAGAGCGACGGGCCAGGGCGTAGGGTCGACGGGACGGGGGAAAGGGCGGGCACGATGCGACGGGGCAGGGCGACGCGACGGGGGAGGGCGACGCGACGGGGGAGGGCGACGGGACGGGGAAGGGCGACGCGACGGGGCAGGGCGACGGGACGGGGAAGGGCGACGCGACGGGGCAGGGCGACGGGACGGGGCGACGGGACGGGGCAGGGGCAAGGCGACGGGACGGGACGGGGACGGGACGGGGCAGGGGCGACGGGACGGGACGGGGACGGGACGGGGCAGGGGCGACGGGACGGGACGGGGACGGGACGGGGACGGGACGGGGCAGGGGCGACGGGACGGGACGGGGCGACGGGACGGGACGGGGCAGGGCGACGGGACGGGACGGGGACGGGACGGGGCAGGGGCGACGGGACGGGACGGGGACGGGACGGGGCAGGGGCGACGAGACGGAACGGGGCGACGGGACGGGACGGGGCAGGGCGACGGGACGGGGCAGGGCGACGGGACGGGGCAGGGCGACGTGACGGGGGGAAAGGGCGCGACGCGACGGTGGGAAAGGGCGCGACGCGACGGGGGGAAAGAGCGCGACGCGACGGGGGGAAAGGGCGCGACTCGACGGGGGGGAACGGGCGCGACGCAACGGGGGGAAAGGGCGCGACGTGACGGGGGGGGAAAGGGCGCTAGGCAACGGGGGGAAGGGCGCTAGGCTCGGCACTAGGCGCGGTAACAACGGAACCGGTACGAACGAGAGGTAGGATCAGGCTCGGGAGATACGAACGGAGAACGGAGGAACGGGATCCCACAGGATCCTAACCTAACTGATACCATGTTAGAATGAGGAATGGATGGTGCATTGATGTTGGTTGGGGTACATATAGCTAACCCTAAGTTTTGTACCCCCTAAGACAAACCTCACTATAGGCTACAACATTTGACAGATTGGTCTGACCACCAGATCCTCCGGCCATCTTCACTCGTGAGCGTGTGCCGGACGCCACTTTCCGAATGTCGCAATTTTCGGGAGTGGCAGTGCGAAGGATTCCCGAGCCGCTCTCATACCATGCTGCGATCAGAAGTTGATCGTGGCCTAGGATCTACTCAGGAAGGTTCGCACGCAGTAAGGTAGTGTTGGTGGGCCCTTGACCTCAATAGCAGAGTGAATGTAAAATGCTTGAGATGAATAAAACATGCAAATACAAGAAATATAAATATGAGTACAAGGGAATACGAAACGACCTAACTAGCCATGTACTATAAGGGGTACATTCCCTTATTCAAATTCATTCCAACCGTGCGGCGCGTACAGTTTCGTAACTGTTCCCGCCAAAACCATCCTGCCTGAAGCTGCCCGATGCCATCTGCTCCGACGGTCCAGATGTGCTGTAACCGTCTGACTCTTCGGTTCAATTCCAACTGTCTGACGCTTCGCGTTCATTCTCGATATTGCCCGCTTCTCTTTGCTGCGGTGAGGAGTGCACAGTAATATCAAATATTACTATTCGTAACACAAGGGAGGGATGGGTGAGGTGGAGAAAATGCACAGAATCCTGTTTCAGACCGTACGGCATCATTGCTTATGTTATTTTCAACTTACAGCATGAAAATGAGATGTCGTGCCACTGTTGCTGGTGGGTAATGATAAAGCAGCTTGTGGTGGGGAGCCCATGGACTGAATTCTACTTACGTACCCCATCTTGGACAACAGTTTTTCCCCCCAACCTGCACTTTGTTTGTACTAAGACAACTTCTTTGTGTTGCTTCGGTTGGTGTACTGTAATGCCGTAGTATAGTTGCCGTACCGAAAACAGCAATACCGCTTTGTTTTGCCCCACCAACACCCCTATCCAGACCAGACCTCTCCCCAGCCCATCCACCCGTTGCGCCTTTCGTTTTGCCGCAGAAGTTTCCGTTTTGCAGTCCCCGCCGCCGCCACCACCGCAACAGGCGGAACAGCCGTAAACCGCGCTTGCCCCACTGCGAATCAGGCTCGCATAATTGCAGTCATGATGAGGGTTTCGGCGGCCCCAGCCGCTTCAGCATGCAGCCGTGATTTCGCTCCGCGCGTGCCACAGCGATCCGCGCCGCACTCCTCCGCCCGCGCCCTTGCTCTCGCGTCGCCTACCCATTTGCGCTGCGCCACCGCCTGTGCTCCCCGCGCACTCTCCGCGAGTTTCTCCTCCGGCGGAAGGTTTCCGCAGCAGCAGCAGCAGCAGCAGCAGCAACAGCAGCGCCGGAAACAACCCGCTTCCGCTTCCCCGCGGGCCGGCTTGCGCTCCGCTCCGCCAGCCGAGCCCTTTGCGCCGGCGTGCGCAGATGTCATTTCCCCCGCCTCCGCTGCGTCCGCGGTGGCAAAGGCGTACCGGGAAGCGCGCGTCATTGCCGGCGCGGCGTCGCTCGCGTTAGTGGCGGCTGCGGCGGCGTCGGGAGCGGCGGGGCCGGCGGATGGAGACGCAGCGAAACCGGCGGCGGAGGTCAGTGCCTCAGAAGCAGCCATCCCGGTACTTCCTTTCTTTGTGATGTCCCGCACCGGATGGCGTGATGGCTTCACTGCTTGCTGTGGTCTTGCCACCCCTCTCTTTCCCCTCTTTCCCCTCTTCCTCCTCTTTCCCCGCTTTCCCCGCTTGCTCCGCGGCATGGCTCGCTGCCTGCGGCGCTTCTCATTCATCTATCCGTGCATGGCTCTGGCAGATTCCGGCAACAGCAGCAGCAGCAGCAGCAGCACGAGTCGTCTGGCAGTTGGTGGGACCGATGGAAGGTGAGCGGTTGGTCGCTGTGGTGTGGCGAGTGCATGAGGCGGTGAGTGAGTGAGAGAGTGAGTGGTTTAGTTTTGTCTGGCTTTTTAAGCATAAAAAAATCCTCCCCATTTTCCCTCCTGTTCCTCTCCCCAATCCTTCCCCCCCCTCCTCTCACTCCCTTCCCTCTTCACTCACTTCCGCCTCAACCCCCACGCCCTTCACCTCCCTCTACCCTTCTCCCGCTTACCCCCCTCCTCCACCTCCTCCACCTCCTCCTCCCGTCCCTTCACCCTCCACCTCGTTCTCCCGCTTACCCCCCCCTCTCACCTCTCCCCACCCTCACACAACAGTCACCTCCACATGTGACTCAAATTTCTTCCTCCCCCTGCTGTGCCGTGTGCTGCCTTGCCGTGCCGTGTCACATGTGTGTGCCTGCCTGCGCGTGTGCGTGCAGGCGCGGTCGGCAGGACTGAAGGAGAAGGTGGCGAAGCTGGGGCTGGCAGCGGTGCTGGCGTACGGGCTGTTTGATGGCATCACCTACACCACCTTCTTTGTGCTTGCCTTCCTTGGCTACGAGAAGAGCACCGGTCTCAACCCCGCTGCCAACCTCAAAGCGCTTCTTGGGGTGCGTGGGTTCCTGTGTGATGTGATCAGATCAGAGTTTGCTGATGTATTTTTGGTGTGGTGGTGGTCTGTGTCCTTGTTTGTGTTTGCTTGTTTGTCCCGGTATTTGAGCGTCTGGGCTCAGTGCCCTGGTTTCCTGTCTGTCTGCCCTCTTTAATTGGTGGATTCATCACCCTCTTCTCTTCCCCCCCCCCCTTCCCTCCCTCCCCCCCTCCCCTCCTTCCATTTCCTTACATGGAATTTGCAGATCGTGGTTCTGATGTGGACGGGGAATAACGTGACGCGGCCTTTTCGAGTGGCAGGGGCTGCAGCCGTGGCTCCATTTCTTGACAAGGCGTTGAAGAAGTTCCAGGAAAAGCTCAATCTCCCCAACCAGTTCCTGGCTTTTGCTCTTGTTGCGGGGACCTTTGGAGCTATCTGCCTTTCTGTGGTTGGGCTTCTCATCCTGTCACGCATAGGAGGTTAGGTCAGGTAAAAAAACAATAGACTTCTATCACAGCTAGATTTAAGCATGGTTATACGGGTGGCAGTAATGGTGCACATCTCCATTCAATCCTTGTGCTCTTGGGGTCTTGGACATTGCACCACTTTTTAACTAGTGAAGGCTATGCATCTTATGTTTCAAAAGTGGAGTTGTATACCTTACAGAAGTGGACTACAAAGGCTGCAAGTGTCAATGATGCCGATCATTATACCGGAGCACATCGTCTCATCCTGTTTTGGGACTCGAAATTCGGGACGGGGCCAAAACCACCCGCAGCGCCGAGATGAAGACCGAACCACACTATTCACACGTCAGGCTGTTCGGTCACTGGCTCGGCCAGACCAGACCCCCCCACGTCATTCGCCTTCCACGAACCACACTCGTGGCACACCGCGCCGCACCGACTTTGCGTCGTAGTACTCCTAGCATAGCACCGTACGTTATCGTACCGTAACATCACAAAAGCTTGAATAACAAACTATATACCATACAACCGATACAGCACAGCAAGTTTCAGGTTTTTGTGTTGTCACTCGGCTGCAACAACCAAACCACGCTGAAAAACTTCTCCAAGCAATTTCTTCGAATCCAGTTACCACGGTAAGAGATACAGAAATAGTTTATTACCGTTTAGGAACCATCGGAATCGTTCTGAACGATCATGATCTCTGTGCTTGTTCCTCGCTCTAGTGCGTCACACAGCCATGGTACTACCACACCCTTGTGTATGTGGCAAGTACTTCAACCGCAGCAGCCAACATCCCGTGGTATCGGCTCAAGGTGAAGACGCCGCTCTCAAGCCAACGTCCAAAATGAATGTATGATCTGATTTCCGTAAGGCGCACCATCGACGACGTATATTACTATTATTATTGATTCCATCCAGCAAGAAGCACGCTAGATCCGCGATCCCTCACTCCAACCATCAAAACAATTTAACCAATACCATTGCTCTCAGTCGCCGAGACGCACATTTCTTGTCAGCCGCGTTACAGCCACACCTCCACAACCCTATAAGTCAGAGGCACATCCCAAAGAGCTTCCAGGTTTCTTTCTCGTGTCGTCTTAATCGCATCCTTTCCCGCCGGTATGTCTGGGCGCGCCAATCGCGCCTCCGCGGATCCCCCCAAGATCCCCGAAAGCCTTCTCAAGGCGCTTCACCGCGGCGAAGCTCCGCCTACGGCGGCTCCCGCCCCGCTCGCGGAAAGCGCAGGCGTGGCCGCGAAGCCGGGGGGAAGCGGCGGATCACTATCAAAGCAGTCGACTCCAAAAACAACCTCTCTTGATCGCAAACGTTCCACCGCACGCACAAATTCCCCTGATGCTTCCGCCGCTTCCCCTTCTTCCGCCGCATCCGCTGCGGCTCCGCCGTCCGCCCCCCTCGCTTCCGTTGCGGGAGGCGCAGGCGAAGCTAGCGGATCAGGCGGAGAGACAGTGGCACCGGCAGCGGCGGGAGTTGGTGGTGGTAGTAATGGCGCAGTGGAAGGGGCAAGTAGTAAAGGTGTAGACGGGACAGATGCAGAAGCAGCAGCAGCAGCAGGAGCAGCAACTGCAGTGGCAGCATCAGCAGCAGCAGCAGCAGGGGGTGCAATAGCAATTGATGGCGGAGCGGCAGCGTCAGGTGTTGCTGCAGAGGCAGCAGCAGAAGGAGCAGCAGATTCGGCTGCCGCAGCAGGAGCAGCTTCCGCAGGCACAGTAGCTGCAGGAGTAGCAGCAGGAGGAGGAGGTTCAGCAGTAGCAGCAGAAGGAGCAGCAGCGCCAGCAGCAGCAGAGGCAGTTGCAACGCCACCTCCAAGCCAACCGGCAACCGCATCCCCTCCGAAGGCAAGCGGGACACGTTCTGCCAATGCAGCATCAGCAGCAGCAGCCACAGCAGCAGCAGCAGCGGCGACAGTTGGTGCGATAGGCATTGCTGCGAGCAGCAGCGTCAGTACCAGCGGCAGGGGTGGTGCCGGTGCCAGTGCCAATGCAAGTGCCAGTGCAAGTGGCAGCGATGCTGCCAGCAACGGCATGGTATCAGGGCGCGGCAGCAGTAAGGACGCGCTAGTGAACATTCACGAGCCGTTCCTGCCGCCCGCTCGCCCCAAGAGGAAAGGCCTCACCTGCCGCAAGCTGCTCTTCATTCTCTGCGGCCTCTTCGCCCTTGCTATCCTAGCTGGGCTTGTTATCGGGATTCTGGCAAAAACAGGCGTCTTGAAAATTGGCAGCACCGGCGACAGCAGCAGCAACAGCGGCAGCAGCAGCAACACCAGCAGTATCAGCAGTGGCAGTGGTGGTGGCGATGGCGGCAGTGGTGGCAGCGGTGGTGGGGATGTGTCGGTTATGACGGCGTCAGGTATTGAACCCGGGGCTCTGCTGGGCGGGGTGTGTGACTCGTCACAGCCTCCTGTCATCCCCCCTGGTGCTGCCACGATGCCCTCCGTGTGGTGGACGACTAGCCTGCGCAACAACACCAAAGTGCGTGCTTGCTTGCTCGCTTCCTTGCTGGCTTGCTTGCTCGCTTCCTTGCTGGCTTGCTTGCTTGCTCGCTCGCTTGCTCTGGGGCTCATTGTCATGTCACCTCTCCACTCCCACCTGTTGCTTTTTGAGTCGGCCTAAGAATATGGGGCTACCACGATGCCGTTCGTGTGGTGGATCACCAGCCTGCGCAACAACACCAAGTTGTGTGCTTGCACTTGTTTTTCCTCTGGGTCTCATCTGCAAATGTCCCCATCTCCCCATCTCCCCATCTCTCTCCCCCTCCTCTCCCTCTCCTCGCTTCCCCACAGGTCATGCTCTTCTCCCAGGGAGTCAAGCGCTGGATAGCACCACTAATGAGGCGCAAACGTCCCCATCTCCCCATCTCTCTCCATGCCCCCATCCCTCCTCTCTCTCTCCCTCTCCTCGTTTCCCCCCACAGGTCATGCTCTTCTCCCAGGGAGCCAAGCGCTGGATAGCACCGCCCACTGCCACCTCGCCCTCCTCCCCCCCTCCCTCCCGCCCCTCCTCCTCCCCCGTTCTTGACTGGTCCAAGCCATGGGCAGCAAGCCTCACTGCCTCCCTGCCTCTCAACCAGTCTCTCACCATCGTCTTCACCTCCTCCTCTTCCTCCTCCTCCGCCTCCGCCTCCCCTTCCTCTGCCTCTCCCGCCTTTGCACTGCAAGCGCCATCCGGTCGCTTCCTTGCACCGTCCTCACCCACGCCACAGGCCACGTTCGCTGCCACTGCTGCTTCCATTGTGGACGCAGCTGCCTTTGTTGCTGAGCCTGCACCCGTGAGTATTTCATGCCCCCTTACAGTTGATTTTTTCCGTCATCATTTTCCTTCTTTGCTCTTTCTGCCCCTCACTGCTTCTCCTCCAAACCCCAAACCCCAAACCAACCCCTCAACCCCTCTTATGATTTTCTTCACCCCCATCCCCCAGGGCGACCCCTCCTCCCTCCTCATCCGCCTCGCATCCCCTCCCGCCGCCTACCTCACCGTCTCCGCCCCTCCCGCGTCCCTCCTCGCGCTGCACCCCCCGGGCTCCCTCCCTGCGCGCCCGGCATACTTCCGCGTGCGCGAGGGCATGGAGGTGGCAGCAGCGCGCGGCGTGAACCTGGGGGGGTGGGTGGTGGCGGAGGAGTGGATGGAGCCAGGGCTGTTTGAAGGGGTGCCGGACGTGGTGGATGGGGTGCTCGTGCAGCTGCAGGCCAAGCAGTCGGGGAAATACGTTTCCCTGTGGGACGCTGCAACTGGGGAGGTACGCTACGCTACGCAGCTTGGGCTGTTGGGCTGTTGGGCTGTTGGGGTGTTGGGCTGTTGGGCTGTTGGGCTGTTGGGCTGTTGGGCTGTTGGGCTGTTGGGGTGTTGGGGTGTTGGGGTGTTGGGGTGTTGGGGTGTTGGGGTGTTGGGGTGTTGGGCTGTTGGGGCTGTTGGGCTGTTGGGGTGTTGGGCTGTTGGGGTGTTGGGGTGTTGGGGTGTTGGGGTGTTGGGCTGTTGGGGTGTTGGGTTGTTGGGCTGTTGGGCTGTTGGGGTGTTGGGCTGTTGGGCTGTTGGGCTGTTGGGGTGTTGGGGTGTTGGGCTGTTGGGCTGTTGGGGTGTTGGGGTGTTGGGGTGTTGGGGTGTTGGGCTGTTGGGGTGTTGGGGTGTTGGGGTGTTGGGGTGTTGGGAGGAGAGGTTCGTGTCATGTTGCTTGGGGATGCAGATGTGTGGTGTTTTGGAGATGCAGGTACGTCTCAAAACTGGAGATACGTGTTGCTGTGGTGTGGGATGCTGCCGCTGGGAGGGGAGGTGCTGCTTTGGATGTTGCTTGCCTGACTATGGCCTTTCGCGTCGTCTCATAGCACACACCACACCACACCACACCACACCACACCACATCACCAGCATGTCTGCCAGCCAGGGGCGGGGATACAAGCAGAGAAGTGTTGACAGTCAACGCTGCTTGTTCCTCCTCCCCCCTGCTTCCCCCTCCCTCTCCTCCTCTCCTCCCCACCCCCGTCTCCCCCTCCCACTCCCCGCACATCCCCTTCATGCTGTCTGATATCTTTCCATTATTCATCGCTTCTCCCTCTCCCCCCCTTTCCATTTATACCCTCCCCCACAGATAAGAGCATCAGCCACCTCGCCATCCTCCTCCGAGACATTCTTCCTTCGCCTCGCACCCGGTCCCGCCTCCTCCCCGCCCCTCTCCCTCTCTTCGCCCTCCTCCTCGCCCGCCAACGTCTCTCTCTACATCCGTGCCGCCAACGGCCGCTTCCTCTCCATTCCCTCCACGCCTTCCGCCTCCTCCTCCCGCTCCCCCTCACGCCCCCCCTCTCGCTCCTCCTCTGCCTCCTCCGCTGCTGCTCCACCCAGCGCCGTGCTTGTTGCTAAGGCGGTCTATCCGGGACCTCCTGGCCCGGGGGAACAGCCAGGGAGCGGCAGTGGCGGCGGCATGGGCAGCGGCGGTGGGAGTAGCAGCAGCGACAGCAGCAGCGGGTGGACGTCGTTTGTTGTTGTGTTCGCCCCTCGCAGCAACACCACCGCTGTAATCGCCATCAACAAAACCAGCACCAGCAGCAGCAACGGCAGCAGCAGCAGCAGCAGCAGCACGCTCTACCTGCTACGTGTCCTCCCCAACGCCTCTCTCGTGGCCGACACACCCATCCCCGTCTCCCAGCTCTCCTCCCCGGCCTCCCCTCTCTGGTCCCCCTCCTCCTCCTCCTGCCCCTCCTGCCTCTTCTCCTTCCTCCCCCAGAACCGCCTACGAGGGGAGTGGCAGCTCTCCCAAGGCCTTAGAGCCACCCAAGGGGATGCGGAGGCGGAAAAGAGAGTGAAAGAGCACAGGGCAGGGTTTGTGAGAGAGGAGGATGTGGCGTATCTGTCGCACCAGGGGGTGAATACGGTGCGCGTGCCTGTGGGGTATTGGACGGTGTATGGGGAGGGAGAAGGGGAGAGCGGTGGCACGCCGTTTGTTGGAGGCGGGCTGGCGATGCTGGATCAACTGTTCGACTGGGCAGGTGGGTGGGGGTGGGAGAAGGGGGTTGGGGTGTGGGGGTGGGGGGATGGGTGGTGAGGAAAAGAAGGGGAGGGGACGGGGAGGGGGGGAAACTTGGGCTTGTAGAAGTCAAGAAGTCATGGGGAGGGGGCGTATATATATAGTGGCAGAGAACAGAAGCACGGAGTGACAGTGCTCCTTCCTTTCTCCCTGCACGGGGCACACGGGTTGCAAAACGGGCTGGAGTTTTGCAGCACTGAGGCAGGTAACATTGCATTGCTCCCTCACTTCCCTGCTTCTCCCCCTCTCTTCCTTCCACTTCCACTGAAAAGCACGGAGTGAGGGTGCTCTTCTCGATGCACGGAACACACAGGTCGCAGAACGGGTTGGGGCACAGCGGCAGCCAACATTGATCCCTGACCCCCCAATCCCCCCAAACTTTCCTCCCCCACTCAAATACAGAGAAGCACGGAGTGAGGGTGCTCTTCTCGATGCACGGGGCACACGGGTCGCAGAACGGGTACGATCACAGCGGCAGCCAGGACGGCTTTGGGGAGTTTGGCCGAGCCGACTCTGCTTACCACGTCACCGCCACGCTCAACACCATTCAGCTGCTGGTCAAACGGTGCGTTTCGTGCGTGCGTGCGTGCCTGTGAGCGTCTCGACTGCTCAGTGTGTGCTGTGTTTGAGTTGAGACGTCTCAAAGCCGACTTTGCTGCTCGCCATACGGTGCGTGTGTCTCGACTGCTCAGTGTGTGCTGTGTTTGAATTGAGACGTCTCAAAGCCGACTCTGCATACCACGGCACTGCCTCGCTCGACACCATCCAGCTGCTTGCCAAACGGCGCGTCTGTGCTGCCCGGACCAGAGTCTCTGCCTGTGCCGCCCAGTTGGGCTTTGCAGTGCATGCCTGCTGGATCCATCCACGTCGTCTGTGTCTCTTTCCTCCCCTTGCTCCCCAACCTTCCCTCCTCTCTCTCCCTTCCTCTTTTCGTTCCTCTCCCCCCATTCATGATACCAGCTACGCCGCCCGTCCTGCCTTCCTGGGCATGGGCGTGCTGAACGAGCCCACCAGCAACCGTGTGAACGCCCCTGATGCTGCAGATTGTTTTTGAGAATTCTCAAAAACAACGCCCCCTCCTTTTCGTTCTCCCTTCACCCTGCTCTTCCTATACCTCCCCCCTGTTCACAGGAGCAGCTATGCCACCCGTCCTGCCTTTCTGGGAATGGGAGTGCTTAACGAGCCCACCAGCAACAGGCTGCACGCGCAGGCCCTCTCCTCCTTCCTCTCCTCCCTTCAACCTACCTCCTCCCCCCCCCGGTTCATTTGAGCAGCTATGCCGCCCGTCCTGCCTTTCTGGGAATGGGAGTGCTTAACGAGCCCACCAGCAACTGGGTGAACGCGCAGGCCCTCTCCTCCTTCTACCTCCGCGCTTACACTGCCGTGCGCGCTGCCTCGCCCTGCGCCTATGTGGGCCTCTCCACTTACGCCGATACTGACAGGTGCGTGGTGTGGTGTGTGTTGCCTGTGGTGCGTGGTGTGTTGTGTGTGGTGTTTGAGCCACGTGGTGTGCGCAATGCAACTTCAAAAGTCACACACAGGAGGTGTGTGCCTACTCCAGCCCATGACACGTGAGTCGAATTCACAAGTTGCCTCGCCCTGTGTTATGCCTATGTGTCCTCATACCTTCTCGTCCCTCCTCCCTTTTCCCTCCTCCCTCTTCCCTCTACGCGCGCCCAGCCTGAGTCTGGAGGGTCTAATGACGGGTCTAATGCTTGGTGGACCTTCCTTCCCTGCTTGTGTTGTCCTCTCTTCTATGCTTACAATGCTCCTCTTCTCCTCCTCCTCTTCCCTGTCTTTCCATGCATGCAGCCCGTTTCTGAAGGGGCTGATGACGGGGGACGAGCACACGAACGTGCTGGTAGACCTGCATGTGTACAGCGTGCATGCGGAGAAGCTCCGGCAGATGTCGCTGCAGCAGAACCTGCAGTTCCTCACAGTCAATGTGAGTGCCATGGGACTCACGTCGCATGGGGGTGGCATGGTATGGAGGTCGCATTGGAGAGAGACCGGCCAGTCTTGTGTTGGGCTTTAAGAGCTCTCAGAAGCTCTAGCAGCAGCTCTAGCAGCTGTTCCCTTGAGCAGAACCTGCAGTTCCTCACAGTCAACGTGAGTGCCATGGGACTCACGTCGCATGGGGTTGGCATGGGAGGGATCGACCGGCTATTCTTGTCTTGTCCTGGCTGTTACAATCTCTCAGAACCTCAGGCAGATGTCGCTGCAGCAGAACCTGCAGTTCCTCACAGTGAATGTGAGTGCTATGGCATGGAATTCGGGTCGCATGGCAGCGGCAAGTGGGTGGTACGGGTTTTTTGTGTGGGAGGGTCTGGTGGTTCTTGTGTTGGTTTATGCCTTGAGAGTTCTCAGAAGCTCATGCACATGAAGTCTTGAGCAATGTGCCTAGAGCACATGAAGTCTTGAGCGAGGTGCCTAGAGCACATGCTCACAGTTCCACAAGCCACCTTCCCCTCGCCTCCTCTGTCCCCCCTCATTCCCCTCCTCTGTCCCCCCTCACTCCCCTCCTCTGTCCCCCCTCATTCCCCTCCTCTGCATTGTGGGGAAGTGGTGTGGTACCTTGCATTACCAACCGACAACGACAAGTGTGTTTTGAGTTGACTCATGCACACCCCGACCCCGTCCCCTCTTCCGCCCCATCCCTCTCCCCATGTGGCCACGTGTAGCGAGGGTGTTTTTGGACGTCTCAAAAACAGTTGACTCATGCACACCCCGACCCCGTCCGGCCCATCCCTCTCCTCTCCCCATGTGGCAGCGGTCAGCGGAGATAAGGCAGTACCAGGAGGGCAATCGGCTGGCTATGGTGGGGGAGTGGTCACTCGCTCTACCAACCGATAATAACTCCGATGTAAGCCTAAGAGGGCGATCCCAGGCCAATTTAAGTGGCCAATCCGATCCGATGTAAGCCTGAGAGGGCGATCCCAGGCCAATTTAAGTGGGTAATCCGATGTAAACCTGAGCCTCTCAGGTTTTTCCCTCCCCTTGCCATCGCCCACTTCGATTGGCCTGGGGTTATGGAGAGGTGAGGCGGTGTGGTTGGGCTGCTGGTGAGGCGGCTACCCTCTCAGCAGCAGCACATCCATGCATCACTCACTCACACATACACACAACATGGCATGGCATGGCAGGCACACTGACAACTGCTGTGCTGGCAGACTCACTCCACCACTGCACCGTGGCAGCAGTCCTATCCTATCCAGCATCCTCTGCTCGCCATCCTGTCCTACTTTGCCTCTTTTTCCCGTTCCTACCACCCCCATTCGCTCTTCCCCATCCCAATCCCCATCCCACCTCCCTCACGTCAACTATTTGGACGATGTGAAGAAATTCGCTGAAACCCAGAGGCGGGTGTTTGGGCAGGCCAAGGGCGGGTGGTACTTCTGGTCACTCAAGCTCAACCGCACCGACGACAACCCCAACTGGAGCTTCGCTCAAACTTAACCATTTTCCCTCTTCCCCTGTTCCACCGTTCCTCCCACCCCATTCCCACTCCCCGTTCCCCTGTTCCCCCGTTTCCCCGCTCCCCCTCTCCCCTTCCTCCTCCCTTCCATCCACCATCAGGACGATGTGAAGAAATTCGCCGACACGCAGAGGCGGGTGTTTGGGCAGGCCAAGGGCGGGTGGTACTTCTGGTCACTCAAGCTCAACCGCACCGACAACTACCCCAACTGGAGCTTCTGCTCCAGCGTTGCAGCGGGCTGGCTGAAAAACTCCTCCACCGGAACTGGTGTGTGGTGAGGTGGTGGGTATGGTAAGAAACAGCAACACGGATGTCGTTTGTTGAGAGGGGCTTTTTCTCTAAATGTGTTGTGTATGTTTATGCATTTAGGCAACATTGTAGTGTTTTCCATATCGTATTACTGTGCTTCCAACAGGTTAGAAAGTCAATTGTGGTATGTTTGGCAGAGTTTTTTGCCGTACCAATCACAGCCAACATTCAAATGCGCACATGCAGTCACTACCAAACCGGCAACACCGGGCCGGGTCCTCCTACAAACTATATGGTTCCGGGCCGGGCCGGGCCGGGCCGGTACCATGTGGTTGCACCTAGAGAGTCGCAGAGATTTATCACCTGCGCCATAGACAGCCTAATCTACTCATCTGGCTTCAATTCACGTCACGCCCATATTGCCATTTCCTCTGCGTGGACGCAACCTAGGGTTTGGAGCAGGTGCAGCTCCAGGCTCACTCTCTGCCTGCACTCGCACTTCTCGTTTGCCAGCTGTGATAGCATATTAGTGTTTGAAACTTCAGTGAGACACGGAGGCTTGGGGGGTGTAGTCTGCCTCCTTCTCCCCCTGGTACACTGCTGACATGGATGTGGGGACCACATACTGTAAGGGGAGAGGGAGGGGTGGGGGGGAAGTGGCAGGGGAGGGGGGGTGGGGAGGGAGGGGTTGGGGGGTGGGGGAGGGATTGAAGCGAAATTGAAGAGAAAGGAAGGGAAGGCAAGAAGTGAGCCGAGTCAAGGTAGTGAGAAATATGATCATAACCAGGCAAAACTAAGTGGGATGGAGAATGGTGCCTGCTGGGAGGGACTGAAAGGGATGGTGTGCTAAAGACTCCCCCAGCCTCCGCAACAGCAGACATAAGAGGTAAGGAAAAAGAGCAACGAACGATGGTACTGGCAGTAGTTTCCCACTGCATGGATTAAATGTATCATGGAGAGCGAGAGGCGTACACAAACCTGCGTCTTGTTGGAGTTGACAGCACCAGATGGCATGTTGTGCAAGCGCGGATATGGAATGCCGTAATGCACCGCCATCTGCCGACGAGCCTCGCCCTCCTCCAACTGATGTTACTCCTTGGCATGTGTGTACCATGGGTGAAAATATCTATGTTAAGAATAAAACCGAGCGAAAGCTTAGTGGCACAAAGCGTGCATACGGCATGCTCTGAAAATGCAGTGAAAGCACCTACACGGACCATTGTAAGATCACAGTAGCAGGCAGGCAAATGTTAATCATTCAAGTTGCAAGAACTCATCCATGTTTAAGCATAAAGAACACCGGCTCATGCAGCAAGCCAAACAAGCATCTCCATATCCATGTTTAATCTCCCAATCCATCAACATGCAATAAAAGATACTATCTGCACCATATCAACAAGACACTGAATGCACCACCCGGCCGTTGGATAAACCATATTACTATACCTTGACTGAAATCTCACCAGTTTCTGGATGCGCTCCTTATCTTGGATGTGTCTGTTGCTCTCAAACGCTCGCCGACTCTCCTCCTAAGCGGGTATCACGGGATGCGTGCAATAGGGGTTGCGGCGAGAGGCTTTTAAACGAAGCAGAAGGGTTACACAAACGTCTCGCCGCAACGATCAAATTTGGGGGTCGAAAGTAATTCTGTTTAAAAACTCGTCCGCTTAAGACCATGGCGCCATGGCGCACCTTGATATACGTCCGCTCTTCTGCAGAGCCTTGCCAGCTCCTCGCGGTGCGAAGGAGTCGACGGTAAAGGCCAATTGACTGGCGTGTGAGGCTCATCGTGTGATATAGCAGGGTGAGCACCGATTCACTGGAATCAGCGGAAATTTTTCGACAAGGGGAGACAAGCCACCAGTAGTTGGCTGCACTACGCCCTCTGCGCTCGATAGGCAAGGTTGCGTAAGTGCGAAGGCGAGTGGGGGCTGAAAGGTTGGGAATCAAAGAGCCTTTGAATAAACTGGTTCGTTTAGTGCAGTAGCTAGCGGTGTTAACATCACTTTACTGGTTGGAAACACCTTGGTGTACCACATTGACAAGACACGTTGCAACCCTGGAGACGAACTCTGTTGTATTCGTTTCCAAGCAAGCTTCTACCCAGTGACCATGGCCAATAAAGCACGTGCAGCATAGCCATAATGATTTCAGATGAATGCCCACGGATGTGCATCTACGAAGGAGATGTAAGCTATACGAGCACTTGACATCGTATTATCAGCAGAACAGAAACTGCATTTAGTTCAGTCTACTAAATGTTAGATTATAAAGCAGGAAAATACAAAAAGAAAGAAAGAAAGAAAAGTCCCATGGGAAGCTTATGCCCGCTCGCCGCGAATACGCCTGGCGAGCTGAATATCTTTGGGCATGATAGTGACACGCTTCGCGTGGATAGCGCACAGGTTGGTATCTTCGAACAGACCGACCAAGTAAGCCTCTGCAGCCTCCTGCAGAGCCATCACCGCAGAACTCTGAAACCTCAGGTCTGTCTTGAAGTCCTGTGCAATTTCACGCACTAGCCGCTGGAAGGGGAGCTTGCGAATCAAAAGCTCCGTCGACTTCTGGTACTTGCGGATCTCACGAAGAGCCACGGTTCCGGGACGGTAACGGTGAGGTTTCTTCACGCCGCCAGTGGCGGGAGCTGACTTCCTGGCGGCCTTGGTAGCGAGCTGCTTGCGAGGAGCCTTGCCTCCTGTCGACTTACGAGCGGTTTGCTTAGTACGAGCCATTCTGAAGAGCGTCAAATGAACGTTGAAGTGCAGTGGAGAGTACTTCGAGCTGGAGACGAAGGATATGAAGAGCGCTGACCGAACGATAGAAGAAATTGGTGAATGGAGAAAAGTGCGAGCACACAAACAGCTTTGAAGAGAAATGAATGGGAGGGAAGGTGGGAAAGATGATGGAGGTTGGATTGGGTTGGGTTGGGTCCGGGCTTCTGGGGGGTCCTTGCGGGATGGCTTGCTCTGGTTTCGACGCGGTGCGGTTTGAACGATCGAAGAGCAAAACCTTGGACCGAAAGTGCATGGAAATGCATCGGAACCGTCAAAACGAAGGGCATCGCGGGCTGCACGGAAGCTGAAATGTAATTGGTTCCCTTTCTGTTTATGGGATCGTCAACAATGCCCCAAACAAAATAAAGCACCGCAGAATGAGTTTCGATACAGATACCGGGAAGGAAACAACAATACAAATATACAGATATTAGTATATATACATAAACTTTTCAGTCACGCACACAGTTACTGGCACCCTCCTGAAAAATATACATGCTACAATCTTTTTCGATATGTATTATGTGCAATATCGAATGGAGAAAAAATGTTTCCAGCAATTGGTTCATGAAATGGTACGTCCACCTTGTTGCAATGCAAGCCAGTGCCAGAAGCACATAACTGCTTAGTCTTGTGACACAGATTGGTGCATTCTGCGGCTGTTCTGAAGGCCTAGCCTACCTAGAAACTGCAATACAGCATAATTGTTGAGAAAGATGAGGTGCATGAGCAAGGTGCCATGAGTCACTGTGAACGTGATTCAGGTGTAGCAGCTTCGCGCCCAGGGTCGCGTCATTACTGCTAAGCCGTTGTACTTACAATTGGGCTTGTAATTCCTTTCCAAACCCAGTGAAACAAGCGAAAGGCCACATGGAAGATACTAGCTCGCATCCACGTTGGTATCAATGGTTTAGAAGAGAGATAGTCGATTGCAGATATATTTTGACGTATTCATTGGTTAGTGTTAAACAATTACATACATAAAGCAAAAGTCGCAACTTAAGCTCTAGCCTGAACCTAGTCTGAAATCCTATGTTAGAACGGCGGTTGTCCTATAGCCCTACGCACGCTCGCCACGGATGCGTCTTGCAAGCTGAATGTCCTTGGGCATGATTGTGACGCGCTTCGCGTGGATCGCGCACAGGTTGGTGTCTTCAAAAAGACCGACCAGGTAAGCCTCAGCAGCCTCCTGCAGGGCCATCACCGCAGAACTCTGAAACCGCAGGTCGGTCTTGAAATCCTGGGCAATTTCACGCACGAGACGCTGGAATGGGAGCTTGCGGATGAGCAGCTCAGTAGACTTTTGGTACTTGCGGATTTCACGAAGAGCGACTGTGCCGGGACGATATCTGTGAGGCTTCTTCACGCCGCCAGTAGCGGGAGCCGACTTCCTGGCGGCCTTGGTGGCGAGCTGCTTGCGAGGAGCCTTCCCTCCTGTAGACTTGCGGGCAGTCTGCTTAGTGCGGGCCATGACTGCTCAAGGAAGAAGAGACGATGCTGGGGCTTAGTAGGGGCTATAGGAGTGGAGGAAAGGAAACGCAACGATTGAAGTGGAGAATGGGGGAGAGATGTTGGTTTTTGTATGGAAACGGCTGTCGAAAAACGTCGATGTTGGGTGGCTGGTGGGTGGAAGGGGGAAAAGTTCGCGGTTTGATTTTGTTTGCCATCGGGCGGGAACATCCAGGCTTTGGGAAGTTCCGCAAAAAAGCCGTCAGTAACAGCCAGCATCGCGCAACTCACGCCAGATGCATACGCTGATTGGGTCTCGATGTGTACGCGGATCGTTGTTCAACATTGCTTCGCTAACATCCAACTCACACAAGGAGCACTTACAATGCCAAAATATCATCGCTTTAAATCTAGACGCATTATTCATCACGACCACACATCTTCACCACATTGAGGCAACATTTGCCAATGCGATAAAAAAAAGGCTGACACTATGCATTTGAATCAAAATACAGTCAAACATACATCCTGTTGGAGTAAATACATTTTTACAATGGAGCCCCCAGTCTGCCAACAAGCCACTCTAACCAAAATCCTCCACATTCCAGTCCAACTCCTACCAACAACCCCTCCAGTCCTCATCCTCACTCCACCTTGACGCTCCACGGGTGCTCCACAAGCCCGTACTGAATATCCATCAGCGCGCGGTGCACGCGAGCCGCCACGCTCAGCGGCTCCCAGTCCTCAGGCTTGTTCCACACCTGCCCGGGCTTCTTGTTGGTCCAGTGTGCCAGCGTGGCGTCTTCCACAGGCGTGGAGATCTCGGTGCCGTCTGGGAGGACCAGGGCGGACACGGGCTGTACTACCACAGCTGTGCCCGTGCCAAAGATCTCCAGCAGCCGGCCTTCTTTGTGCGCTTGCCGGATCTGGTTGGAAAGAGAGCGGTTGGATAGGGTAGGGTTGGGTTGGCGAGTTGGAGAAGAGAGCAGGAAGGGACGGTGCAGGTGAGAGAGAAGTAGAGAGGACACATTTGGTGGTGGTGGTGTATCTGCAACGCATGTGCTGACCAAGCAACTTGCTGCTATACTTTCATAGGGAGAAGAGAGAATGGTGGGAGTTTGGGAGGACTGTGCTGGTGCGTGCGTGCATCTGTGTGCGTGTGCGTGTGTGTGCGTGCGTGTGTGTACAAGGTGGGATAGACCCAGGGAAAGCGTGTATGTGCACGGACGGGGGCAAGGAACAGGCATCCAAGCACACCCGTCGCACGCACCTCCTTGAGTCGTATCGGGCGTTCAGCGACGTCCATGTCTCCCCATGCACGAGCAAGCTGCAGCACCGAGTCCCTGGTCACACCCGTCAGGATCATGCCGTCCAGGCAAGGCACGGGCGACAGGGGGTCACACCCTTCACTTCCTTCTCTCTCACCTCCTTGAGTCGAATGGGGCGTTCAGCAACGTCCATGTCTCCCCAGGCGCGTGCGAGCTGTAGCACCGAGTCGCGGGTCACACCCGGCAGGATCATGCCGTCCAGGCTCGGCGTCACCAGCTCCACGCCACTCGTGCCGTGCTTCGCACCTGCCTCCTTGCGCAGCACAAAGAACACATTCATTGATCCAGATTCGCCAATCAACCCATCCTCCCCGTCCCCCTCCTCCTCCCCTGCCCCTGCCCCTGCTCCTTCTCCTGCTCCTCCTGCTGCTGCTTCCGCTCCTGCGCTCTCCACATCCTTCCTATCCTTCAGCACATACAGCACCTGCGAGCACCCCTTGTGCGCAGCCTGCACCTGCGGCAGGATGGTCGGCGCGTAGTTCCCAGCCACCTTTTTATCCCCCACTCCCCCAGGGAACGCCCTCGCGTGCTCCTGGTCCACCAGCAGGCGGATGGGCTTGAGACCGGAGGGGAAGTAGGGGCCCACAGGGGAGAGGAGCACGTAGAGGAGCACGTCTGTGGGGGGACCAACGCCCAGGAAGGGCGTGGTGGCGATGACGGTGGGGCGGATGTAGGCTGCGAAGCCGTGTGCGGCTGGAATGTAGTGCTCGTCTACTTTGAGAAGGGCCTTAATGCACTCCAAGAGCTCCACCTGGGGGAGGTGAGGGAGAATGACAGGATGGGGCGACGGGGGAAAGGGGGAAAAAGGGAGACGGGAGGCGGATGGATTTGAGAAAGGAGAGGAAGTAGGGGCCGACGGGGGAGAGGAGCACGTAGAGGAGCACGTCTGTGGGAGGCCCCACGCCCAGGAAGGGCGTGGTGGCGATGACGGTGGGGCTGCGAAGCCGTGCGCTGCAGGGATGTAGTGCTCGTCCACCTTGAGCAGGGCCTTGATGCACTCCAGGAGTTCGACCTGTGGGGAGGTGGGAGGACGCGGGGATGGGGAGACGGGGGAAAAAGGATGAACTGGGAAGGGGGGAATGGGGAAGACAGGGCACTGGGTACAGTCAGGGATGTAGTGCTCGTCTACTTTGAGCAGTGCTTTGATGCACTCTAGGGGCTCCACCTGGGGGAGGTCGGAGAAATGGGGGGATGGAGATGGTGGGGAAGAGGAGGTAAGACACACAGGGCAGTGGATGTAGGCTGCGAAGCAGTGGGCGGCGGGGATGTAGTGCTCGTCTACTTTGAGCAGGGCCTTGATGCACTCCAGGAGCTCCACCTGAGGGAGGTGGGAAGGAGGGAGGGAGTGGGGGGAAGGGTGGGTGGGAAGGGGAAAAGACAGAGCACTGGATGGAGCAACAAAAACGAACGAGAAAATGGAGGGAATAGAAGCGGCGGTGGGGCAGGGTGGGGTGAAAGGGAGGGGGGGAGGGGGGGGGGGGGGGGGGGGACTTTTGGGGGAAAAGTGAGGGAGAAGCAGTGGTGCTCTCACGGTGTTGAAGGCGGGGAGGTTGAGGCGGTGGCAGGAGGAGGCGAGGCGGTCCATGTTCTTGTCCGGGCGGAAGAGACGGATGATGCCGCTGCCTGACTTGAACGCCTTCATGCCCTCAAAGCACCCCATGCCGTAGTGCAGCACCTGCGCAGATGCGCGTGGTGGGTGGGTGCATGGTGGGTGCATGGTGGGTGCATGGTGGGTGCATGGTGGGTGCATGGTGGGTGCATGGTGGGTGCGGGGTGGGTGGGGGGTAAGCGGCCCATGGTCGATGCGGGGCCGGCCGGGTACAGACGGGTGCAGAGGGGTGCAGAGAGGTGCAGGGAGGGTGTGTTGTGCCGTGGTGGAAACAGGTTGCAGTGTGAAAATGTTCTTTCCATCTCCTTTATGGCACATCGGACCGCCACCCGCACACACATTCCCCACAACCATCAAGCACGCACCACGGGCCTGATAACACCAGACAGACACGCAGGCGCACAGGCACGCATACAAGCAAGCAAGTGCGCACAGAAGGAGCCTTAACATGCGCGCAGCTCAAGCACGCACCTGCGCGGCAGGGTGCAGTGGCAGCGGTGCAACGGGCTTGATGACAGGGCTGGACCAGCCGTGCTGGCGGCGCCATTTGAGTTGAGACGTCTCAAAACAAGCACGCACACACCTGTGCGGCAGGGTGCAGTGGCAGTGGCCCGACAGGCTTGATGACAGGGCTGGACCAGCCATGCTGGCGGCGCCACGGCACGAGCAGCATGTGCTCCGAGAACTGCGACCCGAACTTGAGCGCGCGCAGACTCAGTGGCTCCTGCACCGGTTGTGGGGGGTGGGAGAGAAGGGAGGGAGGGAATTGGTGGAGTTGTGTGCATCCCAACACAGCACATCCCAGCACCGCACAGCACCACTCACCCAGTCCCTGCGCGCGCACCTTGGGTCTGGTGGACTCCTGAATCACCAGGTCCGCCGCGCTGAAATCCTTCTCCGCCGCCGCACTACTTTTAAGGCGCCTCAAAAGTAGCAGCACAGCACAGCACAGCACCTCTCAGTGTCTCAGCTCTCACCCAGTCCAGTCCCTGCGCGCGCACCTTGGGTCTGGTGGACTCCTGAATCACCAGGTCCGCCGCGCTGAAATCCTTCTCCGCCGCCGCGCTCTCCCCCGCGCCTGTCGCGCCCCCCTCCGCTCCGCGCGCACCGCCGCCCGCGCCGGCGCCGCCGCCGCTGCTGCTGAATGAGCGGTGCGATTCGACGCATGACGCGAGGCGCGACGGGACGAAGGGGAAAAAAGCGGGAGTGGAGGAAGCAACGCCATGCGCGGAAGCGGAGCCATTTGCGGGCACGGGGGGAGCGGCGGCGGGTGACGTCGGGGATGGAGAGGAGGGGCGCAAGAGTGGCGGAGAAGCGGCGGAAGAAAATGGCGCGGCGGAGAGCAGGCGGCGGAGATTGCGCTGCTGGCGACACGCGGTGGCTGCTGATAGCAGCGCAGTGCGACTCGTCATTGCCTCCGCTTGTTCCGCGCCGGTGTTGACTCGACTCTCCTCGACTTGACTAGCTCAGACTTGACTCGAGTCAACTCGATTCAGACCCGACTCGTATTCGAGTTAACTGCTTTAGAATTGCTCCGGCAGCAACGATAGGACTAGTATTTCACAGCTCCCGTACTTGACAGCAGCAGCGACGGCCGCAGCGACAGCAGCAGCGACGGCCGCAGCGACAGCAGCAGCGACGGCCTCAGCGACAGCAGCAGTGACGGCAGCAGCGACAGGCCACAGCGACGGCCGCAGCTGAGGGGGATTGTTGCTTTCAGAAGCCTCGAGCTGTGAACACGCGGCGAGAGAAGCGGTGAGAGAAGCGGTGCAGAGCTGGGCAGGTGGAATGAACCAGAAGAGGTGGGCGGCACGGCTGGTGCGGCGAGTGCTTGCTGAATGAGACGGATGCGGCCACAGGAGGCGAGGCGTAGAAAGGCGATGGGAAGCGAGGCGAGGCGAAGTGAGGCGAGACCGGACGAGGCGAGGCGAAGCGAGATGAGGCGAGGTGACAGGACAGGGCGGGAGGAGGGCAAAGGGAATATGTCTCACGAAGCAATGGTGTAGTGGCGACTAGTGAATTTGTTGGAAGCTGGAACTAACGCAACGGCGGAGGGGTTCCTCGCTCCGCGCCAGTCCTTGCGAGACGAGGCGTTTCGTTGGGCGAGTGAGGGCGGGTCGTTTCTTTACAATAGACTTGGTATGGTTCATTCTTGTACTCAGTGGTCTAAAGCGGTGAATATCAAAATTTTGATAGAGGTAAACGAACGCTAGAGGAATAAAAATGGCCTGCCAAAAGGGAGGTGGTGTATTTCGTGGTGTGGAACAGCGAGGCCATGAGAGCATCTGCAAATAAAACGAATTTAACTAAACTACACAGGGATTTCTTATTTTATTAGCTTGGCTAATCTAAGAGCCAACTAGGACGGAAAATGGCAACCATAATTACATACCACTACATATTGATCCGAGCTTTCTTAGACCGAACCCCTAGCAGCAGTCAGAGTAGGAAGCTTCGGTGCTTTCCTCGTGTCTTTCCACCACTTTCATTCATATCAACGTTCACATCCTTGCTCTTCCTCCTCCCATCTTTCCCACCCGCACTGAAACTGCTGCTCCCACCACTGAGGAGACCAGCTGAGACGCTGGGAGGGGTTGCCCCTGTGTTACTGCCACTGACAGCAGTGCCATCACTACCAGCAGCAGCGGCAGAAGCAGAATGAGAGCTCGTGCTCCCCTCGCTGCGGCTGCTTCTTGCAGAAACACCACCACTACCACCACCACCACCGCCACCCCCACCACCACCTCCTACCACAGCATTGCTACTCCGGCTTCCCTCCACCTTTCGCCCACCTCCCCACTTCCACCTCCCCCACTTCCACCTACCCCACCAGCTCCTGCCGCAGTCAGCACCTGCCCTTGCAGCGGCAGCGGTGGCGGCGGCTTCTTGACAGTCTCGAGAATAAGCGCCACAAGCGCCGGCGTTTTGAACGGCTTGGTAGCATACGCATCCATGCCTGCCTCCGTGCAGAGGTCCCCGTACCCCGCCATGTTATGCGCTGTCAGCCCCACGATCGGCATGTGCTGTCGCCGTTGCTGTTGCTGCCCGTGGGAGGTCCCAGAGGTGCCAGCGGTTCCAGAGGGGTTGGGGCACGGAGAGGGGTGCGGCGAGTTCGATGGGGAGGGGCCTGGGTGGGGAGGAATGCCTATTCTCGGCGGGTCTGCGAGTGCTGCAGCGGCTGCAGCCGCGGTGGCGGCGCTGCTGCTGCTGCTGCTGCCATTTCCGCTGCCGCTGCCGCTGGTGTAGTTATTGGCAGCAGGAGCAGAAGTGGCCGAGGAGAAGGAGAAGGTAGAGGAGGGATAAGCGGAAATAGGGCCAGAAAGGGCGCCGTAGAGAGGCGCTGAAAGAGGGCCGGAGAGAGGACCAGAGGAAGGCAGGAAGGAAGAGGCGTCGCTGTAAGCAGGTGATGGAAGGGGCGGGTTGTATGCAGCAGCAGCTGCTGATGCTGCTGCTGCTGCTGCTGCTGGTTCTGGTGGTTGTGCTGCGGCGGCTGCTGCTTCCATTGCTCGAATGGCCTTCGTGGCACCAAACCCATCCAGCACTGGCATCTGGGGAGGGGAAGGGAACAAGGGGGAGGGAAAGAAAGGGCAGGGAAGGCATGAGGGGACATGGGGGAACAGAGCATTGGCCAGAGAAAAGAGTGAAATTTAGCTAGCCATTCGCAAGGAGGAATCTGCAGGTAATCAAGTAGTAATCCAGCACTAACAATTCAGCATCCGACATTTGAGGCGCCAGAAAAAAAGCAACAACAACAAGACCAAACTCAAAATCACGCTCCCAGAGAAACAAACCCCTACCCCAGCGCACCGCATCCCACACTCGCGCACACCTGAATATCCATGAGAATGAGGTCGATGGTGTCGCGTCTCGCCTTGACCGCATCTACAGCCAGCTGCCCGTTCTCCACAATCTCCACCTGTGCGCCCTGCTTCCGCAGTGCAATGGACACCACCTTCTGGTTGACCGGGTTGTCCTCTGCTACCAGTATCCGCAGCCCTGCCAGCGGCGGCCCCTCACCGCCCCCTCCTCCTCCTCGGGCCTGGGCTGCTGCTGGTGCTGCTGCTGCTGCTGCTGCTGCTGCTGGCGGTGCTGCTGGTGTTGCTGGTGCTGGTGCTGCCAGTGCTGGTACTGGTACTGGTGCTGCTGCTGTTGCTGGCGCTGCTGCTGGCTGTGCAGCCGCAACGACAGCAGGAGCAGGAGCGGCAGCAGGAGCGGCAGCAGGAGCGACAGCAGCAGCTGCCGCACCAGGCACAGCAGCGGAACCTCTGCTCTCTGCATTGCCTCTTAGTGAAGCAGCAGCTGTGCTTGCTCCTGCTACTGCTGTTGCAGATGCTGCTGCTCCTGCTGCTGCTGGTGGGCTGGGCTGACTGAGCTGCTGCTGATTCTGTGCTTGATGCTCAAGGCGCACCTGTCCTTGTTCTGTCCGTGTCTTAGGACTGGCCTGCTGTTGTTGCTGTTGCTGCTGCTGTTGCTGTTGCTGCTGCTGTTGCTGCTGCTGCTGTTCTTGCAGCGGTAGCAGTGCTGGCCCATCCCCTGCTGCACCTCCCTGCGCCTGGGCCTTCCACCACGCGGCACCAGCCCGCAGAGCAGCAGACGCAGCAGACGCAGCAGAACCAGCACCAGCAGCAGAAACAGCAGCGGCAGAGGCAGGCGGGACAGCAGGCGGCATGGCGGGGGATAAGGTAAGGGGGGTTCCGGACAGCGGCAGAAGGCGCGGGGAAGTGAAAGGCTCTAGAGAGGCGAGGTGTGCTGCGAGGACTGAGGGGTCTGATCTCTGCGGCTCCAGACCCCGGCGACGACTGGATAGCAGATGCGCCAAGAACGGCTGATGCTGCTGCTGCTGCTGCTGCTGCTGCGGCTGCTGCTGCGGCTGCTGCTGCGGCTGCTGCTGCTGCTGGTGGTGCTGCTGGTGTTGGGGGTGGGGATGAGGATAAGGGTGGGGATGGGGATAAGGGTGGGGATGGGGATGGAGCTGCTGCTGCTGCTCCAGATGCAGCTGCTGTTGCTGCTGGGGATGTTGCTGCTGCTGTTGCTGCTGCAAAGGGTGCTGGGATGATGAAGCTGCTGCTGCTGCAGTACCACCAGCAGCAGACTGTGCAGCAGCGGAGGCGCCAGGGGAGTGGAGCGAGGAGGCGGAAGATGAAGGACGGAGGCGACTTGGGGAGGAGGAAGGGGACTCGAAGAAGCGGGGCGGGAACTGGTAGAACTGCGAGACGATGTTCACTTGCATCATCTGCGGCTGCCACGGCTGGTCTCCTGCAAAGGAGAAGGAACGATGCGATGCAGACCGGTTGAAATGCTGCCTCGCACCTGCTGCTGCTGCTGATGATGATGACGACGATGATGCTGATGATGCTGCTGCTGCTGCTGCTGCTGCTGACTGCTCAAACGTTTTCTGTGCGGAAGCATCAGCACCACCAGCCAGCAACAGGGGAGAAACACCTGTACCCATCCCAGCACTCCCAAGAGCAGCAGCACCATCACCACCAGCGGCGCCAGCGGCGGCAGCTGCTGCAGCGGCTGAGGCGGCAACATGAGTGGGGTGACCGCGTGAGCCGTCTCTGGGGAAGCTGGAGACAGTCAGAGGGGCGCTAATAGGGAGTAGCAAGGCGTCTGGCGATGCAAGGGCAGCAGGAGGCACAAAGGCAGACGTGCCTGCTGCAGAAGCGGTTGCGGCAGTAGCAAGGGGTTGGGAGGAGGGAATGAAGGCTGGAGAGGCAGGGCTGACAGCAACGAGAGAAGGAGCGGCAGGGGCAGGGGCAGGGGCAGGGGCAGGGGCAGGGATGGTGGCTCCTGGGGTTGCTTGAAAGGCAGAGTCTGGTTGGAGGGAGGGGAAGCGGCATACGGGAGACACAGGGTAGGCCAATGATGGTCCGCTTCCTTCCACTCCCACTGCTGCTGCTGCTCCTCCTGCTCCTCCTGCTGCTGCTGCTGCTGCTGCTGCTGCTCCTCCGTCTGCTCCTCCTCCGGCTGCCCCTACAAGAGCGTGAGAGGCATTGCCGCTGGTGGAAGGGGGAGGAGGAGGCACGAGGAGAGAGGGGGAGTGCGTCCACACAGCAGCAGTGCTGGGACTGGTAGCAGAGGTGGGAAAGGCGGCAGTAGCGCCATTGGCAGCAGTGGCAGCAGTTGTGTCACTTGGGCCACTGGTGGCGAAGGGAAGACTGGTGGTGCGAGCAGGAGGCGGCAGAGGAGCTTCTCGAAGCATCTCACTGCCAAAAGCACCACCAACGCCACCGCCACCACCACCGCCACCGCCACCAGCCAGCAGCAGCAGCAGCAGCAGCGCCAGCGCTAGCAGGAGCGCCAGAGCCAGCAGCAGCAGCAGCAGCCGCCCCAGCTGGCATGGCGCCAGTTGCGAGTCCCTGTTGCGCCTCCAGCAGCAGCGGTGCTGCCACATCCTGGAGAGCAGCTGCCGCTGCTGACAGCCGCTGCTTGTCCGACCCTACCCTCGGCACAGGCTTGGCGACAGGCTTGGCAGCAGGTGCGGGGACAGGCGCGGCGACAGGCTTCGAAAGAGTCGCCGAAGCAGGGGCAGGTACGGATGCACCAAACCCGGCGGCACCAGCAGCATTAGTACCTCCCCCCGTGCTACCAGCAGTAAGACCCAGCTGCCGCAGCTGCTGCTGCTGCTGCTGCTGCTGTTGCAGCTGCAAGGGAGATCGGTCTCTCCTCCCCCACCCCCCACCGCCCCCTCCTCCCTCGTTCCTCACAGGCTGGTGTTTGGGCTTGGCGAAACGAGCGGTAAAGAAGAAAGACGAGCCTGTACCCAACTCGCTCTCCACCCACACCTTCCCCCCCATCATGTGCACCATGCTGCGCACTATGCTCAGCCCCAGGCCTATGCCTCCGTACACGCGCGTGTGCGACGTGTCTGCCTGCACAAAGTTTTCAAATATCTTCTCCTGTTGATCCGCACTGATGCCAATGCCTGTGTCGCTCACACACACTACCAACCACACGTCCTCCGTTCCCTCACTGTCCCTCCCTCCCGCACCACTTCCCTCCACTCCTCCTCCTCCTCCTCCCATCCCCCCCACTCCGCCTCCCCCTCCTGCCCCTCCTCCTCCTCCCACTCCCCCTCCTGCTCCTCCTGCTCCTCCTCCTCCCCCTCCCTCCTCCTCCTCCGCTTCCCCCCGTGTCCACACTGACCCCCACGCCGCCTATCAGGTCCATTCCTTTCAGTCCGCGTCTCACCTTGGCTGTGTCTAGAGAGTGCGTTCGAGAGATCACCCACCTCTCGCTCACCCCGCCCTTGCCACTGCTCCCCCTCCCACCACCACCACCACCACCACCACCACCGCTGCTACCACCACCACCAGCAGCAGCAGCAGCAGCCTCAGCACCAGCACCAGCAGAACTAGAAGAAGGAGCAGCACCAGCACCACCACCACCGCCGCCGCCGCCGCCGCCGCCAATGCTGCTTCCTCCTGCGCTAGAGCTCACACTCCACATTCCCTTTGCTCCAGACAGCCACGTACCTCCCCCCCCTGCTGCTCCCCCACCGCTTCCCCTCCCTCCCCCTTTCCCTCCTCCCTCCCCGCCTTCCCTCTCCCCGTCTCCCTCCCCACTCGCCCCAGTCCCTCCCACCGCTCCTCCTGCTGCTGCTCCCGCCAACCCACCAGCTCCCCCCCCTGGTGCCTCTGCTGCTCCGGTCCCCACGCTTCCCGCCTTCCCCATGCGCCCCTCTCCCCTCTTCCTACTCGCCTCCTCCTGACTAATCTCATCAGCAGCGGCGCTTAGCAACTCTCCCCCATCGCTCATAGCGCTCCGTCTCACCTTCCCCCTCTGCCGCTCCTCCTCTCTCAACAATCCCGCCACACTCCCACTGCCACCACTGCTCCGCAGCAACGCCGCCATCCCTCCCTTCCCCCCTCTCCGCCCTCCTCTCTCCTTCCACCCCTCCCCAGCGGCCCCCCCACCACCCCCTTCCCCAAACCTACCCCCGCTGCTTCCGAAAGCCCCACCAGTCCCACCACCAGCCGCAGCAGCAGCAGCAGCAGCAGCAGGGGAAGGAGAGTAGTGCGAAGGGAGAGGGCCAGCGGCCATACTGGCAGAGAGAGGGAGGAAGCGAGGAGAGGAGGAGGAAGTGCCGGAGGGGAGGAGGGGCTGGGAGGGGAGGAAGGTGGAGGAAGCAGAAGAGGAGGTAGCAGGAGGGGAAGGGAAGGCGAGGGAGGAGGACGCAGCAGCCCATGCGTCTAGAGCGTTGGAGCTGCTGCTGCGGGCAAACGGGGTGGGTAGCTGTGCCTGCTGCTGCTGCTGCTGCTGCTGCTGTTGATCTGAGCCCATTCCCATCTCGATGTCCATTCCGCTGCCCTGCCCGCTTGCTGCTGCGCCACCAGCACTGCTAACGGAGGCAGTGCCGGCAGCAACAGAAGCCGAAGAAGCGGAAGTAGAGGTCACAAGAGGCCACCACGAAGCAAAGCTGATCGGCCCTGCTGACCCGCCACCTGCTCTGCCCAACCGCTTACCTCCTGCTCCTGCTGCTGCTGCTGCACCTCCTGCACCCACACTCCCACCTCCCACTGCCGCCGCCGCCGCCGCCGCCGCCGCAGCAGCAGCAGCAGCACCACCACCACCACCAGCAGCAGCACCAGCAGCACATGAAACTGATAGCTCCCCTGTCGCCTAACATCGCAAACGGCCCTCCCCCTCTTCTCCCTTCTCCCCCTTCCTCTCCCCCGCGTCTCTCCCCTTCCTCGCCCTCTCTCCCCAGGACCCTCTCACTACCCCCGTGCTTGTCGTCCCTGCCGAACAGAGACTTGGGGATGGCCCAGCGAAGGGAGGAAGAGGCAGAGGCAGAAACAGAGCCAGAGATCGAGGCCATGCGTGAGGGCCGAATGTCACCACCTCCACCACCACCACCACCACCACCACCACCACCACCACCACCACCACCACCACCTCCTCCTCCTCCTCTTCCCCCCCCTCCTCCTCCCTGCTCCAAATCCCCACCCTCCTCTCCAAAACCCCCTGCCTCCGCATCCCCAGCACCGCCTCTCCCCGTTTCTCTCAGCCGCGATCCTTCTCTCCCTCCCCCTCCCCTTCCCTCTCCCTCTCCCGCTCCCCCTCCCCCTCCCCGCGCGCCTCCCAAACCGCTCGCGTCCTTAGCCCCAGCACTCCCTCGCGCACCTCTCTGCGCCAACAGGTTGAGCTGACGTTGAGGCTCCAGACTCCAAGACCGGTACAGAGAGGACAACGGGGGCAGGCGGGCAGCAGGACGGGCCGATTGCGGCGTGGCCATGGGAGTGTTTGGGACGGCGGGTGTGGCAGGGGTACGGGGAGTGGGGAGGGGGCGACGTGCAGCAGCAGCAGCAGCAGCGGCAGCAGCGGCGGCGGCAGCGGAGGAGGAAGAAGCAGGAGTGGCAGTGACGGGGGCAGCAGGAGTGTCGGAGGAAAAACCTGCTGATTGAACGCCTGATAGTCTGGTGGAGTTGAAACTCTCGGATAGATTGGAGAGCGCTAGGCTGATGCCCCTGAACCTGCCACCTGTACCAGCACTGCTAGCAGCAGGGGTCGCTGCCGCTGCCGCTGCTGCTGCTGCTGCTGCTGCTCCCCCTCCCGCTGGCCCAACGATTCCAGCTTCCTTCTCCACGCCTGCTGCTGCTGCTGCTGCTGCTGACAGCCGACTCAAACGCATTTGCCTTTCCGCCCTCACTCCCCCCCACAGCCACACCATCAGCACCGTCACCATCCCCAGCGGCGAGAGGAGCAGCGGGCGGCCCGGGCGTGGCGTTGGGGGGCCGCTGGAAGGGTGAGGACATGAATATGCGAGACAGGCCAGAGGCATTCCAGTCAGTCCCTGATGAAGTGCGCGTGTGCTTGCCCTTCCCCCCCGCACCTGCTGCCCCCCCACCCGCTTCGTCAGCCGCAGCAGCGTCGGCAGAACCAGCAGCAGCACTAGCAGCAGCAGCAGCAGCAGCAGCTCCAGCTGCTGCTGCCCCACCTGCCCCTGTGCCCTCTGACCCTCCTCCTCCTGCACTGGAGATTCCACCACCACCAGCAGCAGCACCACCACCACCACCACCACCCCCTCCACCTCCCCCACCGGTGACGAAGCTGGGGACAGCAAAAGAGAGAGTAGCCTGGCGCTGGGGACGTGGCGCAAAGCAGGTGGTGTAGGCCTTCTGGCGGCGCGGGCGAGCAAAGAGGCGGATGGTGAGCGACACAGAGCCCGCTGACGTGAACTTGATGGCATTGCCGACTGGCGGGTGGGGAGGAGAATGGGCGGTGGGGAGCGGGAGAGGATGGGGAAGGATGGGGGAGAGGAGGGCGGAAGGAGGGGAAAGAGGCGGATGGTGAGCGACACAGAGCCCGCTGACGTGAACTTGATGGCATTGCCGACTGGCGGGTGGGGGAGAGGGAGCGGGGAGAGAGAGGGAGCAGGGGAAGAAAGGGAGCGTGCAGATAGAAGGGTGGGGGAGAGGTGGCGGGGAGGGGACAGGGGGGGGGAGTTGAGGTGAGGTGGGAGGAGGGGAGAGGAGGGGGGAAGTGCGAGGGATGGGGAGTGGGGTGGACGGAGTGGAGGGGAGAGGATGGGGAAGGTTGGGGAGGAAGAAGGGACGGAGGGCAGAAAGGCGGATAATGAGCGACACGGACCCGGCTGAAGTGAACTTGATGGCATTGAAGACAAAGGGGGGGAGAGAAGGAGAGGACAGGGAAGGTGGGGAGGGAGGCGGGAGAGGGAAGGAAAAAAGCGGAAGAGGGAGGGGGAAGCAGCTGCGGTGCTGAGCGGGTTTGATGATGATCTGTCGCAGTGAGCAGGCGAGCAAGCGGGTATGGGAGCAAGCGAGAGAGCGAGGGAACAAGGGAGGGAGTGAAGGAGCAGCAGCAGCGGCGGCGGCGGCGGCAGCAGCGGCAGTGCGGGCGTACCGAGGTGATGATGATCTGCTGCAGGCGGGCAGGCGAGCAAGAGGGAGGGAGGGCGGGAGGGAGGGCGGGAGGGAGGGCGGGAGGGAGCAGCCGCAGCAGCAGCACGCACCGAGGTTGATGATGATCTGCTGCAGGCGGGCAGGCGAGCAAGAGGGAGGGAGGGCGGGAGGGAGGGCGGGGGAGGGAGGGCGGGAGGGAGCAGCCGCAGCAGCAGCACGCACCGAGGTTGATGATGATCTGCTGCAGGCGGGCAGCGTCGCCTAGTAGCTCCACGGGCACGTCCTCGTCCACCTCCCATGAGAAGTCCAGCTGCTTCTGCACCGCGCGCACCTGGTCGAGAAAGGATAGGGGAGGGCGGAAAAGGGTAGGAAAGAGTTGGGCTCCGCACCATGACAAGAGAAAGCAGACACTCTGCGCATGCTGCTTGGTTAGAGCTCACCACCACACCTCACACACAGCCGCATTCTGGGTGGGTCAGTGGGGCGCCTGAAACGCCCACTTTCCCCCCTTCCCCTCACTTACTGCCTCCCCCTCCCTCCCCATCCGGTCCCCTCCCCATCCGGTCCCCTCCCCATCCGGTCCCCTCCCCATCCGGTCCCCTCCCCATCCGGTCCCCTCCCCATCCGGTCCCCCTCCCCATCCGGTCCCCTCCCCATCCGGTCCCCTCCCCATCCGGTCCCCTCCCCATCCGGTCCCCTCCCCATCCGGTCCCCTCCCCATCCGGTCCCCTCCCCATCCGGTCCCCTCCCCATCCGGTCCCCTCCCCATCCGGTCCCCTCCCCATCCGGTCCCCTCCCCATCCGGTCCCCTCCCCATCCGGTCCCCTCCCCATCCGGTCCCCTCCCCATCCGGTCCCCTCCCCATCCGGTCCCCTCCCCATCCGGTCCCCTCCCCATCCGGTCCCCTCCCCATCCGGTCCCCTCCCCATCCGGTCCCCTCCCCATCCGGTCCCCTCCCCATCCGGTCCCCTCCCCATCCGGTCCCCTCCCCATCCGGTCCCCTCCCCATCCGGTCCCCTCCCCATCCGGTCCCCTCCCCATCCGGTCCCCTCCCCATCCGGTCCCCTCCCCATCCGGTCCCCTCCCCATCCGGTCCCCTCCCCATCCGGTCCCCTCCCCATCCGGTCCCCCTCCCCATCCGGTCCCCTCCCCATCCGGTCCCCTCCCCATCCGGTCCCCTCCCCATCCGGTCCCCTCCCCATCCGGTCCCCTCCCCATCCGGTCCCCTCCCCATCCGGTCCCCTCCCCATCCGGTCCCCTCCCCATCCGGTCCCCTCCCCATCCGGTCCCCTCCCCATCCGGTCCCCTCCCCATCCGGTCCCCTCCCCATCCGGTCCCCTCCCCATCCGGTCCCCTCCCCATCCGGTCCCCTCCCCATCCGGTCCCCTCCCCATCCGGTCCCCTCCCCATCCGGTCCCCTCCCCATCCGGTCCCCTCCCCATCCGGTCCCCTCCCCATCCGGTCCCCTCCCCATCCGGTCCCCTCCCCATCCGGTCCCCTCCCCATCCGGTCCCCTCCCCATCCGGTCCCCTCCCCATCCGGTCCCCTCCCCATCCGGTCCCCTCCCCATCCGGTCCCCTCCCCATCCGGTCCCCTCCCCATCCGGTCCCCTCCCCATCCGGTCCCCTCCCCATCCGGTCCCCTCCCCATCCGGTCCCCTCCCCATCCGGTCCCCTCCCCATCCGGTCCCCTCCCCATCCGGTCCCCTCCCCATCCGGTCCCCTCCCCATCCGGTCCCCTCCCCATCCGGTCCCCTCCCCATCCGGTCCCCTCCCCATCCGGTCCCCTCCCCATCCGGTCCCCTCCCCATCCGGTCCCCTCCCCATCCGGTCCCCTCCCCATCCGGTCCCCTCCCCATCCGGTCCCCTCCCCATCCGGTCCCCTCCCCATCCGGTCCCCTCCCCATCCGGTCCCCTCCCCATCCGGTCCCCTCCCCATCCGGTCCCCTCCCCATCCGGTCCCCTCCCCATCCGGTCCCCTCCCCATCCGGTCCCCTCCCCATCCGGTCCCCTCCCCATCCGGTCCCCTCCCCATCCGGTCCCCTCCCCATCCGGTCCCCTCCCCATCCGGTCCCCTCCCCATCCGGTCCCCTCCCCATCCGGTCCCCTCCCCATCCGGTCCCCTCCCCATCCGGTCCCCTCCCCATCCGGTCCCCTCCCCATCCGGTCCCCTCCCCATCCGGTCCCCTCCCCATCCGGTCCCCTCCCCATCCGGTCCCCTCCCCATCCGGTCCCCTCCCCATCCGGTCCCCTCCCCATCCGGTCCCCTCCCCATCCGGTCCCCTCCCCATCCGGTCCCCTCCCCATCCGGTCCCCTCCCCATCCGGTCCCCTCCCCATCCGGTCCCCTCCCCATCCGGTCCCCTCCCCATCCGGTCCCCTCCCCATCCGGTCCCCTCCCCATCCGGTCCCCTCCCCATCCGGTCCCCTCCCCATCCGGTCCCCTCCCCATCCGGTCCCCTCCCCATCCGGTCCCCTCCCCATCCGGTCCCCTCCCCATCCGGTCCCCTCCCCATCCGGTCCCCTCCCCATCCGGTCCCCTCCCCATCCGGTCCCCTCCCCATCCGGTCCCCTCCCCATCCGGTCCCCTCCCCATCCGGTCCCCTCCCCATCCGGTCCCCTCCCCATCCGGTCCCCTCCCCATCCGGTCCCCTCCCCATCCGGTCCCCTCCCCATCCGGTCCCCTCCCCATCCGGTCCCCTCCCCATCCGGTCCCCTCCCCATCCGGTCCCCTCCCCATCCGGTCCCCTCCCCATCCGGTCCCCTCCCCATCCGGTCCCCTCCCCATCCGGTCCCCTCCCCATCCGGTCCCCTCCCCATCCGGTCCCCTCCCCATCCGGTCCCCTCCCCATCCGGTCCCCTCCCCATCCGGTCCCCTCCCCATCCGGTCCCCTCCCCATCCGGTCCCCTCCCCATCCGGTCCCCTCCCCATCCGGTCCCCTCCCCATCCGGTCCCCTCCCCATCCGGTCCCCTCCCCATCCGGTCCCCTCCCCATCCGGTCCCCTCCCCATCCGGTCCCCTCCCCATCCGGTCCCCTCCCCATCCGGTCCCCTCCCCATCCGGTCCCCTCCCCATCCGGTCCCCTCCCCATCCGGTCCCCTCCCCATCCGGTCCCCTCCCCATCCGGTCCCCTCCCCATCCGGTCCCCTCCCCATCCGGTCCCCTCCCCATCCGGTCCCCTCCCCATCCGGTCCCCTCCCCATCCGGTCCCCTCCCCATCCGGTCCCCTCCCCATCCGGTCCCCTCCCCATCCGGTCCCCTCCCCATCCGGTCCCCTCCCCATCCGGTCCCCTCCCCATCCGGTCCCCTCCCCATCCGGTCCCCTCCCCATCCGGTCCCCTCCCCATCCGGTCCCCTCCCCATCCGGTCCCCTCCCCATCCGGTCCCCTCCCCATCCGGTCCCCTCCCCATCCGGTCCCCTCCCCATCCGGTCCCCTCCCCATCCGGTCCCCTCCCCATCCGGTCCCCTCCCCATCCGGTCCCCTCCCCATCCGGTCCCCTCCCCATCCGGTCCCCTCCCCATCCGGTCCCCTCCCCATCCGGTCCCCTCCCCATCCGGTCCCCTCCCCATCCGGTCCCCTCCCCATCCGGTCCCCTCCCCATCCGGTCCCCTCCCCATCCGGTCCCCTCCCCATCCGGTCCCCTCCCCATCCGGTCCCCTCCCCATCCGGTCCCCTCCCCATCCGGTCCCCTCCCCATCCGGTCCCCTCCCCATCCGGTCCCCTCCCCATCCGGTCCCCTCCCCATCCGGTCCCCTCCCCATCCGGTCCCCTCCCCATCCGGTCCCCTCCCCATCCGGTCCCCTCCCCATCCGGTCCCCTCCCCATCCGGTCCCCTCCCCATCCGGTCCCCTCCCCATCCGGTCCCCTCCCCATCCGGTCCCCTCCCCATCCGGTCCCCTCCCCATCCGGTCCCCTCCCCATCCGGTCCCCTCCCCATCCGGTCCCCTCCCCATCCGGTCCCCTCCCCATCCGGTCCCCTCCCCATCCGGTCCCCTCCCCATCCGGTCCCCTCCCCATCCGGTCCCCTCCCCATCCGGTCCCCTCCCCATCCGGTCCCCTCCCCATCCGGTCCCCTCCCCATCCGGTCCCCTCCCCATCCGGTCCCCTCCCCATCCGGTCCCCTCCCCATCCGGTCCCCTCCCCATCCGGTCCCCTCCCCATCCGGTCCCCTCCCCATCCGGTCCCCTCCCCATCCGGTCCCCTCCCCATCCGGTCCCCTCCCCATCCGGTCCCCTCCCCATCCGGTCCCCTCCCCATCCGGTCCCCTCCCCATCCGGTCCCCTCCCCATCCGGTCCCCTCCCCATCCGGTCCCCTCCCCATCCGGTCCCCTCCCCATCCGGTCCCCTCCCCATCCGGTCCCCTCCCCATCCCTCCATCCCTCTCTCTGCCTACCTCCTCCCCTTCTCAACCATCTCACCTGCAGCATCTTCATGGTGAGGTGCTAACCACCACGTCCCGCGCATTCTGGGTGGGTGGGGTTCCTGAAATGCCCAACACCCTTGCCCGCGCCCCACCCCTCCAACCTTCCCCCCTCCCCCTCCTTCCCCCCCTCTCACCTGCAGCATCTTCATGGTGCTGACCACAACGTCCCGAATCGCAAACGGCACTTTGAGAAGCTCCAGCTGCCCGGCCTCGATGCGCGCCAGGTCAAGCACCGTGTTGGCGATGCCCAGCAGACACTCCGCCGACTGCGCCACTATCATCAGATGCTCCCTCACCTCCGCCACCACCTCTCCCTGCCCCTGCTCATGCGGATGCTGCTGCAGCTCGTGATGCTGCTGCTGCTGCTGGTGGTCGGCGGCCCACGCGGTGGGGGAGGAGTGGATGGACTCGAGTGCATCGAGAGCAAGCGCTGTCATGCCGATGATCCCGTGGATGGGCGTGCTGCGGAAAGATAAGGGGTGGGCGGAGAAGGGGGCAGAGGGGAGGGAGGACAGGGAGGAAAGGGTAGAAGTGTGGGAAGTGTGTGTTGAGAACGGGTATTCAAGTGCATCGAGAGCTAGTGCTGTCATGCCGATGATGGTATGATGGGTGTGCTGAGAGGGCGGGGAGAGGAGAGAAGGGGAGAGCGGGAACGGCGAAGGGACTTGAGGTGGAGAGAGAATACTCTTGAGTGAACTCAACAATGACGCCCATCATGATGTTGAATTGGTCTCCCCGGCGTTTCAAACCCCCCACCACCTTACGCATATACCCACCCCACCCCACCCCACCGCACTGCACCGCACCGCATCGCACCCACCACTCCCCGCACCCTGCTCATTGGATTGCATGGCTCATGTTGGCCAGGAACTCGGTCTTGGCGCAGCTGGCCTCCTCAGCGTGCTGCTGGCTCATCTGCAGCTGCTCGTTGTACCGCCGGACCTCCGGTGTGCGCCTCAAAAAGCGTTTGACACCTCCCCAATCACAGTCCCCTTACCCATAACCCCCCAACCCGTACCCCTTCGTCCCCCCCACCCAACCCCCAGCACCTGAGCACACCTCACACCACAGCACCGCACCGCAACCCACCACACCCCCCGCACACACAGCTCACCGAATCTCATGACTCATGTTGGCGAGGAACTCGGTCTTGGCGCGGCTGGCCTCCTCGGCGTGCTGCTGGCTCATCTGCAGCTGCTCGTTGTACCGCCGGATCTCCTGCGTGCGCCGCACCACCTCCTCCTCCAGCGACGCGTTCAGCAGCCGCAGCTCCCTGCGAAGACGCTTGGTGTCGCGCACTGCCGCTGCTAAAGCTAGTGCTGCCATGGCTTCCACTGCTGCGAATAGTTGTACCTGGGGTGGGAGGGAGGGGAAAGGGGGATGGGGAGGAGGGATGCGGAGGGGAGAATCGAGAAGAAGGGGAATATGGAGGTTGGATCAGGGAGGATGGAGAGTGGGGATTAGGAGAGTGGGTACGGTGGGGGAAGGGGGAGGGGAATGCGGAGGGGAAAAGGCAGGGAGAATGGGGGGGAAATGGGAAACGGGGAGGGGAAGTTTAGAGACGTCTGAAAAGTGGAATGTGAACGGGGAGGGCAATGAGAGGGGGAGAAGGGCAGGAGGAGCTGGTGCGGTGTTACATGAGAAAGGGGTTAAGGTCGGTTCCCCTAACACCCCTACACCTTCCCTCCCTCCTCCCTCCCTCCTCCCTCCCTTCCTCCTCCCTCCCTCCTTCCTCCCTTCCTCTCCTTCCCTCCCCCTCCCTTTCGCAACGTGCAATGTGGTGTCACACCAGCTGAACTGCACAGCACGGGAGTAACCACAACCCAGGCCCCCTCCACAACCCTAATTCCTCCCTTCTCCCTTTTTCTCATCTCCCCTCCCCCTCTCTCTCACCTCTCTCTCCCCTCTTTCTTCCCTCTTTCTCCCCTCTCTCTCTCCCTCTCCTCTTCCCCCCTCTCTTCCCACATCCCTCGTCCCCCTTCCCTTTCCCTCCCCTTTCCGCTCTTTACCCCCCCTCCGCGCACCTGCACCATGGTCCCCATGACATCCCCGCGCGCCAGCGGGCCGCGCCCATGCGCGGCGGTGATTCCCCCCAGGAGCGCGAGCAGCAGCGCGACGAGGTTCACTCCGCGCCGATTGTACTGGAAAGCCGCCCACGCGATCCCGGGGAACAGCAGGTACATGAGCGACGCGGTGAACTCGTCAGGCGCGAATCCCCCGAACAGCACCGCGCACACGCCCGCGTTCAGCGCGACGAACGCGATCATGCGCCAGGACTGGACTAAATAGTCGACGCAGGGGGGGAGGCACCACGGCAGCCACCACCGCACCTGCTGCTGCTGCACGCGCTGCTGCTCCCACTGGTTTCTCTGCCACGTGTCGGACCCTCTCCCAGCGGATGTCACGGAGATCTGGACGAATAGGGGAACGACGACGAGCACGCCGATTCCGTCCGCGACGGCGCGGAACAGCCAGGACTGCACGCGGGTGTCCGGCGGAGGCGGGGGATCCGCTTGCGCGAGCGCGGAGAGGAGCGTTTGGAGGCCTTGGAAGAGGAGGGGAACGAGGAGGACGAGCGAGCAGAAGCGGAAGACGTTGGGGGTGCAGTCGAGGGGGGTGCGGTGGCGGCGGTGCGCGCGGAAGATGCGCGCGAGGATGAGCGCGAGCGCGTGCGTGCCGAGCGTGGCGCAGAGCGCGTCGAGCAGCGCGCCCGCCGCGGAGGCGCCGGACGCGGGCATGGAGAGGCGCACGAGGCGGAAGTAAAACGCGAACGCGAGGTAGCCGAGGAAATTGCCCACGAACACGCGATGCCCCGCTGCCTGCGCGCGGGGGGAAAGGGGGCGCGCGTTGGGGAAACGGTGCGCGAAACGGAGGGTTGACGGGGGAGGAAGGGGCGGAAGGGGGAAGAGGCGGGGTGGGTGAAGGGGAAGTAAGGGGGGGCGAAGGGCGAAGGGGTGAAGTGGGGGGGGGGGGGGAGTAAGTGATGAAGGCATGGTGGGTTAGTATGAGGGCGATTAAGCGGCATGGATGGAGAGGCAGGAGTAAATTACTGGTGGGGGAGGGGATCCCTAGGGTGGGGAAGGAGCAAGTTGGTGGGAGAGAAAGGGGAAATAGGGAGGGGCTGGATGGGAGGAAATGGGGCGTTAACGATGTAAGGCGAGGGGAGGAGGGGGTGATATGGGGGAGAGGGGAAGGGGGGGGAAGGGGAAGGGGGAAGAGGAGGGACACGAGAGGAACAGGAGCCTGCTGCGCGTTGTTGCGCGTGGCGCGCGCGCGCGCGCGCGTACCGTGACGGCGAAGAGCGCGAAGCCGGCGGGGAACCAGATGGGCGCGGGGACGGACGCGCCCATCCAGAACACCGCGTTCGTCGCGACGCCCACGCCGAAGAGCAGCGCGCCGAGCAGCAGCACGAGAATCAGCTGCGCCACCAGCGACGATTCCCGCATGTGCAGCTGCAGCGGCCACACCCGGTCGCGCTGCCGCGCCCCCCCTCCGGACATGCCCCTGCTGCCCCCACCCCCGCCGCCGCCGCCGCTGCTGCTGCCGCGGCTATCGTCATCCCCGTCGTCGAACGAATCGTCCCCGTCGGAGTGCAGGCGCTCCGACAACATGCCGTGCGACCGGAAGCCGCCATGCCGCCCCCCACCCCCTCCCCGTCGCCGCCGCCGCCGCCGCGCCTTGCCATCCGCGTCGTCGTCTGTGTCATCGTCCTCACTGTCCACGTCATCATCATCATCGTCCACGTCATTGCTCCTATCGCCCTCCCCACCACGACCGCTACCATTCCCCCGCCAGTCCCCCCCTTTTCCGCCTTCTGCTGCGCCCATACCGCCCGCGCCATCGGAAATCACCACGTCGTTGTCCGCCCTACCGCTATCACACCCACCGTTCTTTCCCCCTGCTCCCCCCCCCATTCCGAACGCCTCCGCGCCGTGTTCCCCCAAGATCGCCCTCAGCGCGTCCTGCTTCGACAGCCCCCATACTGCCGTCTTTCCCCCCGTTCCGCCTCCCATACCGCCTCCCCCGATGCCAGCCCCGCGCTCGCCGTCTGCTCCCCCCGCGCCTCCGCTCTCCGCCTTTTGTTCCTCCCCAGCTTCCCCTTCAGGATCAACCACTTGGTCACTCCAGGTGAGCCGGTGGGGGGTGGCGGGGCGGTGCTGCTGCGCTGATGCGGGGAGAGCGGTGGCGGAACGAGGGGAGGCGGAGAGTGCGGACGGGGTTGCGGAAGGAGTGGCGGAAGTTAATCCGAGGCCCGTCCATGCGACGGACGCAGCATCTGACGCGACATCGTACGACATTGCCGCTTCGGGATAATTCGCACTAAATCGCTATTACTCTGTTCCTGCTGCTATGTTTACTGTACAATCTCCTAGTGTGGCCAAGGAATTGTGCTGTTCTGCCTGCGGGAAAACGTCGGTCAGTCGTCAGCCGTTTTATTCCAATAAGTTAGCGTGCGGTAGATGCTCGCGAAACAAGACGACCCTCCTGTTACTAAGAAATCTTGTAAACGCCAGAGCAACCGCTGTCAAAACATACCAGCCCCCACAAGAAAATACACACACCACACAGACGCTAGGGTGAATGTTCTCTCCCCGCTCCTCACGCCTCGCCGCTTTGCAAGCCACCCCGCTCCGTGTTTCTGCTCTCTTCTCTCTGCTCCTCTCGCTGTTCCCGTCTTTTCGTCGCCAGTAACCCCTTCTCCTCTGGAAAACCCATCCTCCTACTAAGCCCGCTGCTACCCACGAACGCACAACCACCTAATGCCCTTCCTTTGCAAAACAAGCGTCCAATTTCTCTTCCACAACCTGTCTCGAGATGCATCGTCTGCGCCCATTACTCGAAGCAGGTGGAACACTACTAACTCATGACTAACCAACGCGCCACTGACTCGCTGGTGCTGCTCGAAAAACTCGTACTGGCAGCTTGTTTGCAAGTCCCCCGTTTCACCAATCGACGACCACCAGGCCCCACTCACTCGCGACGAAACAACTACCTCCAGTAAAACCCGCGCTGCTGCTACACCGTGTACTGTTTTGTGGTGTGCTGGTGACCTAAAATGCTGCTGCTGGGTGGGTGGGTGCATGCAGGTGATGAGGGGATGCTGCGGTTGTGGTAGCCTGCCTGTGTCGCTCTTTGTTGGTTGGTTCGGTTCGGGGTCGCGAGTCAGGGGGAGAGTTTCTCTGTTGGTAGTCTTTCGTGCGTGCGACACTGCTTTCTCGCTGGCTTTCCTACCGTCAGGTAAGACAAGCGACGAAATCATAGCGACAGAAATGGTTACCCCATCGATCGTGGAAGATCCCGCTGATCATTGCGACAGGAACGCAGGTCAAAGCAGGAACCTGTTCACTTGTAGAGGTTGAGTACGATTATGTGCAATCTAGAGGGATCCGTATCGTTAAACGCTTTAAACCGCGACTCACCCCTTTGGTCCGTGACCCGGCTATCGACGGCAAGAGTAGAGCCAACCAGAACAGTCGAAGACTTGAAGCGGAAGGATGCATTTGTACTGTAACCTGTTCAGTGGTCCCAGCGACAGCCAACCACGTACGCTTATCGGAGTTTCGCGAAAGTGCCTCAGCGGACGCACGTAACGCCATTCATCTGCATGAGCCGTGCCGGCACGCGTGCGCGACGGCAAACGTGCACCTTTGGCGATTTAGAATGCCTCCTTGTAACCAGCCAGCCGGATTACTTGTGTGCTCCATGGCAGGCAGAGCACAAGGACAATCATTCAAAATGGGTGGGTGCATGACAGTTGGTTTATGGGGAGATTTTATTGTGCAAGGGCAAGAGCATAGAGTGGGCCATATATTTTACAGAACTACTATGTAGCTGATAACGGCCATACTACCCATTTTATCTGCCTCTTCCACTCCTACGCATCCATGGAACAGCCAAGTGGCACGGTGAGTCATGGAGCATGAAAAAGATGGGTGGATTGAGGAAAGAATTGGTTTGCCTTGTAGCCCAGTTTCCAAGTGCTACACAAAACACGAGTCTCCAGGTCGCATAAGCAGCGCGCTGGGTGAAGTACATCCCTCCAACGGCAGAGTGTACAGATCAATGCAAAAGCTGCAAGAATCTTATTCCTTGAATTGCCCTGCCAGCAATGGAAGGGGTCAGACGAAAAGAGGAGGTGGGGGGGGGGGGGGGGAGGGGGGGGGGGGGGGGGGGGGGGGGGGGGGTGGAATGAGGGTGAAGCAAGTGAAGGTAATGGGAAGGGGGAGAGGGGGGAGAGGGGGGAGAGGTATTGGTGGTGGTTGGAGGGTAAGGAGGGGAAGGGGGGCAGCGAGAGGGGTGGTGGAGGGGGAAGGAGAAAGGTCATTGACCATTTGTTGGAAGAGCAACACACGAACGAGAGGGAGAGAAAATGAGGGAGGGGGGGACAGGAAAGTGGGGTTGGTGGGGTGGACAATGTAATGGGAAAGGGCGAGTGATAATCCAACGGTTTTTAGAGGAAGGTGGTGACGAGGGAAGACGGGGCAGAGAGACATACATGAATCAAAAGCATCAGCTTTTTTTGTCACTGGAGATCCCAACTGCAACATTTGACACCTGCAACGCAGCCGAGGCAAGACGTGTGGATATGAAACCAGAAGGCATATCATATCAGGTAATGAACAGAGACGCAAAAAGACATTGCTTAGGTTGTGTTTGGAAAAGCCATGGAATGTACACACACACACACACACACACACACACACACACACACACACACACACACACACACACACACACACACAAAAACGTGATGACACACCAGCTTGCCGGTATCATCCATTGTCATAGGGTTCTCCACGACCACTGTGCGGCTGCTGGTAGTGCTCTGTGCTGGCGCCACCTGTGCCGGCTGTGTGGGGGGCGGGGCATACTGCCTTTGTTGCACTGGCAAAGGGCGCAGCGACGAGCCAACCTGGTTCGGATGCAGGGTTGCAGGGTGGGAAGGTGCGGGGGTTACAGGTGAGAATGGAAGGCGTGCGTTAGTGCAGGCAGGATGAGAGGTGTGGGGAGATGTGGAAGGGTATCAGCTGGTACTGGGGGCAGGAAATGACGGGACGGCAACGTTTAGTCAGAGGCAAACGATGCAGAACTGCAGCTTGGATGTTGAATGTGATGCATCTAAGCATGTGGCGAGTGTGAATGGGGTGTGCGTGTGGGGTGTGCGTGTGGGGCGTGTGGGGTGTGGGTGTGGGGTGTGCGTGTGGGGTGTGCGTGTGGGGTGTGCGTGTGGGGCGTGAGGGGTGTGCGTGTGGGGTGTGCGTGTGGGGTGTGTGTGTGGGGTGTACGTGTAGGGTGTGTATCTGGGATGCGCGTGTGTGAGGTGTACGTGGAGAGCGTGCATGTAGGAGACACACATGCAGAACCAGAAAGACCACAGCAAGGTCCAAATACAAGGCGTTTCCCATACGCAACGAACCAGCAAAACACTAGCAGAGAGAGCATGAGCCTGAGTTGGGAGGATGGTTGTTGTGCAAAAAATTACCTGGGATGTAACGGAAAACATGGGGGTGAGCGTGTGATGGTGGAATGAGATGGTGAAGGGAGGGACGAGCCTCACCTGGGTGACGAACTGGCAGACGGCGCACTTGACGCTTTGAGCCCCATATGCATACATGAGCGTCATGCCACAGCCGCCGCAGTTCACATGTGCCACTTGACTTGCTGGCGAGCACGCATAGCGGGTGGTGGAGCGAATGGAGAGAGGTGTAAGCCAGTGGCACATGGAGGGAGGACAAGGCAGACGAGTGAACGAAATAGCACCGGCAAACAGGGGAGCGTGTGAGGTGAGACTAGGTGGAGCGGGACGGGTGAATGAACAATCCGCATGCATACATGGAGGATAAGGAGCGTGCGAGGTAATGACACCAGGAGGAGGACGTGGCGACTGGAACTGTAGCGAATACTATAACGATGCGGTGTGGATGAGTGAGGTGGAATAGGACTCAAAGAATAACCCGGGAAAGTACTGTGCGGTGCAGAGAATTTCCGGACTCGCGGACTTGCAGGAGGCGAATGTAACGAGGGGCAGGGGGGGCAGGGGGGTCAGGGGGGGCAAGGGTGGGCAGGGGGCAGGGAAGAAGCGGGGGCTTACATTCCATGGAGAGGTTGACAGTGTGGCAGCAGGAGCACTGCACGCTGGTGGCTCCCCGCACGTACATGAGCAGAGTCCGACAGCCGCCGCACACCAGCTGCGCCATCTCCGTGCCTGCGAGGCGGGCCGGGGGAGCAGCGAGGCCACGGGAAAACAGGAACAAGCAACGGGGGAACGGGGGCGAGAAAATGAGCAGCTTGTGGTGAACGGGACGAGAGAGAGAGGGAGGAATCGGAAAAGGCAAAGCTCTAAACGGAAGAGGGAAGGCGTCAACTCAAACATAAAAAACAGAAGAAGCAGGAGGGCTGCAGAGAAGGACGGAGGGAAGGAGGAACGGAGGGAAGGAGTGAGGACTTACCAGCGGGTGGCACGGGGGTGATGGTGCTACACAGCGCGCAGCGCACGTTGGATGCGTTATTAGGATACACGAGTAGCGTGCGGCATCCTGTACACACTATCTGACTCTGCGCCGCTGCACGCAGAGCAAGCACGCAAGGCAACCACGCAAGCCAAAGAATGGCACAAGGGCGGCGCAAGAGGAGAAGAACGAAGGCAACAGGAATGGTACGGGTCATGAGCTTCGGAGATTGCCAGCAGATACGGAACGACAAGGAGTGGGGGGGAGTGGGGGGTGGGGAGGGGGGCCAACACGGAGAAAGAAATCAGCAATGCGCGTTAACGATGGACTTAAGAGCCATCAGGGAGAGCACTAAACGAGGCATTACGAGGGGCATTGAACAACGTGTAATACCCTTATAGCACCTGTAACGCTTTTATCCTCAGAACCATCGCTGTCCCTAGGTCCATACAAATTTCAACGATCCTCACAAATCGAGCCCTCCTTCTTTCTTCCTCTTGTCCTCCCCCGGTCAACAGCACCTGCTGGCTCGCCCTGCTCTTTCAACGCCGAAAAACGACATGCACTGCTCAGCGCTCGCTGCACCACCTCTTTTATCACAACCCGTGTTCAAGTCACCGTTAACGAACCTTGGGGCGTCATGTGCACGGGGCCCGATGCAGATTGTGGATACGGCATCAGCGGTGAGGGCTGCATCATGGGCTGAGGAACAGGCGCTGGTGCGATGGGAAGCGGATTGGATGAGCTCGGCGATTGGAACTGCGGCGAGGAAGACGATCGGCCTATACTTCCATTCGCTGTTGCTGCCGTGCTGGTTGGGGCTGCCATAGAGCTTTGGCCGTTGCAAACGGAACTCGATGGACGAGTTGGTAACCTAAACTAAGTCTCCTTGGTCGGGCTCAGATAAGCTTCAGCCTTCGGTCCCTTCAGTAAAATCCGGTACGAGGACTCGTTTCTGGTTCCACCGTTTGCCTGCTCCCTCTTCCCCTCCACCACTCGTCCAGCGGAATGTGAGCTGCTCGCGGTCGCTAACCTTCCTGCGACTTCTTCAGGCCGAGAGATAAACCAACTGCTGAGCTCGGATGTTGAAAGCGATAATAGCGAGATGAAAATACGATGAAAATCGCTAGTCCGTCGTGGCTATGAAACATAGATGGATACAGCCTACGGAGTAAGATGTGACGCACTAAAGATCTAACGCGAAACCGAGATAAAAAAGACGTAGGGATCAAGTAGATAGTTCGGACGAATGAAAGGCCATGATGGCACTAAGGAAACGAAGTGCTCCGTCAGGGCAAGACTAAGACAAGGATCTCTAACGCCTCGTGCAGCAAGACCACAGCAGAGCTGAAACTTCAAGAAAGTATGATGTCTATTAAGAGAATAAAACTGTGTAATCCTTATTCAGAATGCAGATCAGATCGTCGATTTTCTGAGGTACTACCAATGACGATAACTAAAATCAGGGAACTAGAGCCTACATACTTCAAGTGTGTGATAGAGAAGGGAGATTTGAGGAACCTTGCCGTGATGGAATGGACTGGTCGCGAAAGGCGAACCGAGATTATGTCTCTCATCTTGAAAGAAATTCGGTGAAGTACGATTCTGTGGATTTTGAAAATTCTCTCTCCCATCACCGACTTCAACCGTTTCTAAACCATCTGGACACTTATGGATGAACTGTAAGCGACATGTTGTGGCACGCCCCAGAGCGTTCCCCGATAGACGCAGGGTGGCGTGGAGAAGCCCCTGAGGACCCCCGACTTCCACGGTGGCGATTGCATGGGTGCCCGTCTGGCAAAAGTGGACGGAGCAGATGCGTGAAGCCCATCCAGCCCCTCCCAGCTGTCCGACCCAGAAGGGGTTTCGTTGGAGATTGATACCTAGACTTGAATCTCCTCCGTCCAACCGTGCCTCCAATCTCGTACCCTCCACACTGCATGCGGAAAAGGTAGGGCGTGCTTCCTTTACCAATATTTACACGTGAGAGCCAGTGCAGCGGAGGTTCGAAATCTCTCGAGGCAACATAAATGGACGTGAATGTGGCAGAATTACTACCCGTTACAGTGAGCCGCCCAAATCATCAAGGTTCCCACCCACACGCCATGACCCGACGGGCCCATTGGTATCTTCAGGCCACACCGTGTTTATGCCCCGAGCTTTGTGCATGGTTCGGGCATTTCTCATACACCGAGTTTATCGAACTTCTATGAACTCGGTGTATGAGAAATATTAATATATCCACTCTCACTGTTGTATATTCATATATTCATGGATTTGTTTGCACCTTCTACAGTCCTTCATAAACAAGAGTGGAACTTACTTCATAAATGTATCATAATATATTTTATGATTCCTGTTTATGGAAAAATATCACCTGAATAAAAAATGAAAACTATATGATTGGTTGTGTTAACTGTGTTCTAGAAAATATCACTTAAACGTTACTTTTTAAAAAAAATCGTAATATAACTCGCACCTTTGAAAGACACATCCCTTGAAAAGATACGATTGCAAGGACCAGCTTTCTAAGCAAGCACTTGTTATTTGGGTCAATTCAATTGAGTAATCGCAGCTGTACACTGCACCAAGTTTCCTCAAGCCAAGCCTAACGGAAAGAGCGTTGTACGCGCTAGTGCTGTCGCAATTGCTACTAAAAACAATTCAGTGTGCCTTTCCGAGCACTGTTTCATAACGCCACAAGATAAAAGCCCTAGGGCAGTCTTCTAAGGTTCCTGGGGTGAGGATCTAGAGCGTCTGCCGAGGTCGAGCGCAGCACTCGCTCGCCGTTTTCTTATCGTCGGGCCACTCGCCATGGCCGTAACAAACTCCTCCAAACCGAATCCTGAAGCCACGCCTCCCAAGGATCCTGTGGGAGGATCCGCGCCGTCGAACCCGTTTCTAGAGCTTTGCATCCACGTGGAAAAACTGAGACCGTACGATCGAGTGCTCCTCGTTCGTAAAGCCGCTACCTCTTCCTTCATTGCAGGACCCTCCAGCGGGAGTGAAGGGGCCGGCGCGGAGGGAGAGAGGGCGGACGGGAATGGTGAGGCGGAGTGGGGAGCGCAGGGGGAGGAGGCGAAAGAAGCGGAGGGGAATGGTAGGGCAAACGAGGCTGGTCGGGCTCTGGAGGTGCACGGCCTGCCGTGCCGCTGGCGAAACGAGCTGAAGCTGCGAGCGATGTTCGCAAATTTTGGCGATGTATCCCGTGTGATCGTGGAAGGCGACGACACGGACAGCAGCAGGTGAATCATCCGGGATTTGCGGGGAAGTTGGGGGAGGGCAGAGGGGAGCGGAAAGAGGGGAGAGGGCATAAGGGAAAAGGTGGGAGCGGGGTTTTGGGAAGAGGGGTCATAAGGGTTTTGGGAGAATGAGGAGGTCGAGCCGCGAGTTGCAATGGCAAGTTCTCGGGCTTCTGGTTTCTGTGCTGATCTCCCGTTTTTTCCTAGCTTCTCCTCTCTTTCTTGATTAAACATTATCGCCACAATTGCTGCCAGGTTGCACCATTCCTCCTCTGCGCCCTCCGCCGCACCTTCCGTTGTTGTGGTCTTCACGCGGCCGGAGTCCCTCCGGCGCCTCTTAAAGACCGCGTCGCTTTCCGCGTCCTCTAAGGCGTCTCTTAAAGCCAAGGCTCAGGCCAAGGCAACGATAACGGATCCCGACCCGCCAACGCAGGGGGGGAAGGCGGAGGGGGACGCGGAGGGAAAAGGGAAGGGGGAGGCGGAGGGGGAGGAGGCGCAGCAGCCTCTGTGGCCTGCGTGGGGGATGGAAGGTAAGAACTAGCAGTGTCTATTTCCCACGCAGAACACCTTACATGCACACTCCAGTTGGTTCTTCTTAAGGCTCATCGGCCTCTCTTTTTAATAGTATTTCTTCGCTGCTTGCATAGCACAACCACATCACATCCCCTCACACGCCATATCGATATTGCTCTCACTGCCGGCAGCGGGTGAAGACTTCCCAGCTACCTCTCAGCATGTCCCCCTCTCCCCTCTTGTTCTGCTTGACATGTCACGCTCTTCTCTCTACCCCCCTCTCTCGCGTTCCACCGCTTTCTCTCCAAATCCCCTTGTCACGTGTCTGCCTCTCTCCGCTATCCCTCACAGGATGGTTGAATGCGTATGCAGATGAACGGCCAGGATTGGCGCATCTGCAGGCGGAGGCAGATGCTTACATCAGCGAGTATGAGGACAGACTCGAGAGGGTGCGTGATGAGATCGTGCTTGTTTAAAGGTTGCATGAAATTGTGGCTGCCATGTCACAGCCACGGTCACAACCACTGTCGTGACCATTCGCAACCCTTGTCGCGACCAGTGTCGCAACAGTGGGAGCAAGCAAGCATTGTTGCAGTTACGCCATCTCCTTTTCAGCTCTGTTGAAACTCGCACACCGCATTTTTCTTGCTGCACACACAACCCCCCCCCCCCCCCCCCCCCCCCCCCCCCGCCCCCCACACCCCCTTTCCCCTAACTCCCCCTTATTTTGTCCCTTGGCACACCATGCCTCTCCATTCTCCTCTCGCTCCACTTTGCACTCACCACTCGCTCATTGCAGTTTACTGCCACGGGTTGACCTTCTCGTTTCTCTCATCTCTCCACCCATCATCGGTTTCCACTTCTCCTTCCATTTGTTTGTCTTGCATTGCCAGCAATGCAACCCTGACCTTCTTTCCCCCAACTCCTCTACCTCTTACTCTTACCCTCTTCCACCCTAATTCGTCTTTCCGTCTTTCCTTCCATCCCCCTCCCGTTTCCCCCTTTCCCTCTTTCTCCTTTCCCCCTATTCCCTCTTACCCTCTCACGCTCTTTCCCTGCCTCCCCCTTCCCCACTTTCCCTTGCATCAGGAGCGACGTGAGGCAGAGGAGAGAGCGCTCCGGTCACAGGAGGAGGACGGGTGGACCGTCGTGCGTTCGTCGTCTGCATCTCGCCGCAACCGCGACCCCTCTTCGGGTGTCTCCATGGGTGTGATTTCCAAGTCGCGCGCTCAGTTCCTCGCAGTGAAGCTGCAGCAGAAGCAGAAGAAGCAGCAGGCTGCAGCAGCTGAAGCGCTCAAGTTCTACCGCTTCCAGCACAGAGAGGCGAGACGACAAGGTGAGTGAGGCGAACACAGGCATGATACCGGGGGGCTGTTACTTGAATTCGATATTGCCAACATGACTTCGTTCAACACCTCATCACTTCCACCTGCGTTCGTTGGATTTTGTTTCTTCGTTTCTCACCCCCCTGTTGCCCTCCGATTGTGCCTCGGTTTAGGAATTGGGAGACCTTTTATCTTCTCATGCTACGTCTAGTACTAGTAGCTACTGAAATTGTCAGTCCCCCAACCACTTCAATAGTTGTTCTCATTATTTCTTTCGTATTTTTCTATTCGGTTCTTTTCTTTGTGCATGAACACCAATTGCAGAGCTGATGGAGCTTCAGAAGAAGTTTGACAGCGACCGCAAGCGCATTGCCAAGCTTCGGGATGCACGCAAGTTTCGTCCTTATTAACTGTAGTCTCTGGATAAGTCACCAATGCTTCAAGGATGAATGATACATCGCATGGTGTGGAATTGAAGTGAAATACCAGTTACCTACGGTATGCCCCGGTCAAAGCACATCAAAAGATGATATGTTTCGTCTGAGCTGCACAGAGCATAATCAATGCTCCCATGGAATGGAATGCAATGTGCAGTTTACTGATATGCCACTTGATCGGGATCACAGTTGTAGCTCCCTTCAACTATATTATCCTAGTTCAGTGGACTCCAAGATTAGTGTGGTGTTGAGTAACATTGTTCATTGCACCAGCATACAAGAGTGAAATTGAGAAAGCTTGCTCTCTGTTTCTTGCAAGGCAACGTGCTTCATTTCAATTGGGTAATTACAACATTCTCGTCCAACTAAAACAACACATAGAGATCAATTAGGGGCGGGTGGGGGGGAAGCGGAACTGTAAAGTTCCGAAATGAAGACGTGGGTGGAGGCCAAATGGCCTCCAACCCTCGTTATGTACTCGGAAATTTGCATTTGCAGTTGCCTTGCTTCACTACAGTCAGCTGCGCTTTCAAAATAATCATTTTTAGAAAGTGTTTCACACTTTCAAAAAATTTCATATTGAGAAAGCTTGCTTTCTGTTCCTTGCAAGGCAACGTGCTTCATTTCAATTGGGTCTTCTGAGACATGTGCGTCTGCGGACGAAGTGTGGATAGTGGAGCCGGTTGATGGCGATGTCCAGTGAGATTGGCTGTCAATGACGGTCGTTGCACTCCACGTCGACGATGTTATGCGAGTTGCTCCTTCCTTGAGGTAGATGTCTGTGCCGAGGGTTGTCGGTGGGGTGGAAGACTGTGGTTTGAAGTGATTTTCGTGCTGGAGCGAAAGGTGGAGAAGGTTGTTGTTGAAGACGGCCCATCTGTCATTCATTAAGTTGCCAGTGTTGCATGAAGACTGATGCCGCTATTTCCATGCTCTTTGCAGAATATTGAGGTATAGGGTCATTAGCTCATACAGTAGCAGTCGTGAAACTCGAGGTGACGGACCAAATTTTGAGGAAAGGGTACCATTTGGCTACGTCAATAACTGGTGCGGTGGTGGTGGGCTTGACATACAAAGCTAAACAACGTCGTAGCAGATATGTGCAATACGATAGATTGCAAATCTGTCCAGGGTGCATCATGACCTTGTATGAATGAAGGCGCGTCACAGATGAAGGCGCGTATTGAGTAACCTTTCATAGTTGCGATTCCACCCGTAAGCCATAGGAACGAAAGGGCCCAGAATCGTATATAATTGTGGTCGAGCGGCCGACTACGCCGACCAGAGCAGTACGGCATGCCTCGTTTGCAAGATTTGTGGATCCAACGAAATACTGGTTCGTAGGCATAATGTCGCATAACAATACGCATTGTAAGAGAGCTTGAGGAAATGCCTCCAATCGAGGGTTACTAGCCCTATCAATTGCTCATCTCTTGGCACATTGGTTGCTCATCGCTTGACCCATCGATTGCTCCTCGTCGACCCATCTGTTGCTCATCGCTCGGCGCGTCAGATGCCCATCTCTTGGCCCGTCGGTTGCCCGTCGCTCGGCCCGTCAGTTGCTCGTCTCTTGGCTGATCGATCGCTCATCCCTTTGCCGGTCAGTTGCTCATCGCTTGGCCCGTTGGTCGCCCATCGCTTGACCCGTCAGTTGCTCATCGCTTGGCGCATCCGTTCTCATCGCTTTGCCCATGAGTTGCTCATCTCTTGGCTTGTTGGTTCTCATCTCTTGGCCTGTCGGTTGCTCATCTCTTTGCCCTTCGGTTGCTCATCTCTTGGCCCATTAGTTGCTCATCTTTGGCCTGTTGGGTGCTCATCTCTTGGCCTGTTGGTTGCTCATCTTTTGGCCTGTTGGTTGCTCATCGCTTGGCCCGCCCGTTGCTCATTGCTTGCCCATTAGTTGCTCATCTCTTGGCTTGTTGGTTGCTCATGGCCTGTCGGTTGCTCATCTCTTTGCCCTTCATTTGCCCATTAGTTGCTCATCTCTTGGCCTGTTGGTTGTTCATCACTTGGCCTATTGATTGCTCATCTCTTGGCCTGTCGGTTGCTCATCGCTTGGCCCGTCGGTTGCTCATCTCTTGGCCCCTCGGATGCTCATCTCTGACCGATGCCGTGTTATGACAACCAGACAAGAAAAGACAACAAGATATGCCTTGGCTGCCCTGCCACATTATGTTACGGCAGTCCCGTAGCTCCAAATATTGTTGAAGCGCGAACAATAACCGGTAATGGAATGCAAGGTACATTGAAATTTGGTAAATGTTTTACTTTCGCGTACGTATCCTGTCCGGTGTGACAGAACAAGATAGGAGTGAATAATGGTTGAAATGCACTCCCTCCCTCCCCTCCTCCCTTAGTTGTGTATGTTCAGTGTGGGTGGGGGAGTGATACAACCAATACCGTACGCGTCCTTGCTACAGGTAGTTTCACTCTACCAATCACCACAGTCAGTCAAATCACTAAATGTGGCTCCAACATCCTGTTGGGGCAAGGCAAGAGAAGCTCGTGATTTTTTTTTTTTCACTATATTTATATCGTCAAACAATTAGCCAATGATACATACATATCAACAAACACATTACATAGTTGGGGATTTCCACATCTCAACTTTAGTACGCACATCCCCCCTTTCTAAGAAGGTGGCTTCTCTGGCCAGCGTACCTTCGTAGGTACCTACACCCGGATCTTGGCCCCCTTTGCCCCATGGGAAACGAATCTCAGGCCAACTCGGGGACCCTCGGTCCCCTTCCCCCCCATGGGGGCGGCTCTCATGCCAAATTGGGGACCCTCGGTCCCCTTCCCCCCCTGGGGGACGGCTCTCAGGCCAACTTGGGGACCCTCGGTCCCCATTCCCCCCCCTGGGGGCGGCTCTCAGGCCAACTTGGGGACCCTCGGTCCCCTTCCCCCCCCGGGGGCGGCTCTCAGGCCGACTTGGGGACCCTCGGTCCCCTTCCCCCCCTGGGGGACGGCTCTCAGGCCGACTTGGGGACCCTCGGTCCCCATTCCCCCCCTGGGGGCGGCTCTCAGGCCAACTTGGGGACCCTCGGTCCCCATTCCCCCCCTGGGGCGGCTCTCAGGCCAACTTGGGGACCCTCGGTCCCCTTCCCCCCCTGAAGGCAGCTCTCAGGCCAACTTGGGGACCCTCGGTCCCCTTCCCCCCTGGGGGCAGCTCTCGGTCCCCTCGTTTCGATATGCGTGGAGTTGATCCCGTCGTCGTTGCAATTTTCCCGCGCGACTGGTGTCCCCCCTGGAGTCCGACTTCAATCAGCGGCTTTCCGTCTTATGCCCGTTTTTCTGCCATGAGGGAGTATCGAGATTGATAGGCAATGAGAGAAGAAATTAGAGCTGGGAAAAAAAGAAAGAAAAAAAAAAAAAAAAAAAAAAGAACTTTGCAACAATTTATATGCAGCTTAAACAATATATGAGGTGACATGGGGTGCTGCCCTGGTGGTTGACGCCCAGTACGCCTTAGGCGCTGCAGTGGCAGTTTCTTGACTGCCGCTGTCAAAATGAGAAATGGATGATGCATTGATGTTGGTTGGGGTACATATAGCTAACCCTAAGTTTTGTACCCCCTAAGACAAACCTCACTATAGGCTACAACATTTGACACACCCCCATAGCCTAAGTGAGGGGTGTCTAGCAGAACCAAACGAGTACGGTCACAAGACCAGTCCAAAAAACGAAGCTCAGGGTGGATCACAACGTCACCACACAGTCTGAGCACAAACAACAGTGGCCACAAGGCCAGTCCAAGAAGTAACAGAGATATATAGAAAGCAAAGTAAACAGTACACTCAAGTCTAAGCAACACGAGAACCAGTGTCAACAAGGCCTAACTGCACACAGCACCTCTGGTGGTCACAAGGCGGAAGCGCCTTGGTGAAGATGTCTGCAGTGTTGGCCTCGGACTCCACAAACTCAAAGCGAGCCTGTCCACGCCTCTGCAACTCTCGCAGAAGAAAGTACCTGACGTGAATGTGCTTCACTCTGCTCTCCAGTCGTGGCTCTCGACAAAGGAGAATAGACGCCTTGTTGTCAGTGAACAAGGTCGGTGCAGAGCTCGGCCGCTCACCAAGGTCGGTGAGCAAGAAGGTCAACCAACGCAGCTCCTGTGCCGCCATGGCACCAGCGTAGATCTCAGCCTCAGCTGTAGAGGTCGAGACCGAAGAGGAGCGCGTGGACCGCCAGGAAACAGCTCCAGAACCCAGGCTGAAACAGTACCCCTGAGTAGACCTGTGAGTCTCAGCGTCGTCAGCGTAAGAGGAGTCACAGTGACCAGTAAGTACGACAGACTGCTGCCCTCCAAGAACTAGCCCCACGCCTGATGTCGTCGCTAGGTACTTCGCCACCCTCACAGCTGCTGTCCAGTGAACAGGACGGTGTCTCCCTGGCGCAACAAAGCGCGCAAGAACGCTGAGAGGGAAGGCGAGGTCCGGGCGAGTACAAGTCATCAGGTACATGAGGCAACCCACAAGCTCTGCGTAGGGACCACTAGGCTCGAACGGCTCGTCAGGAAAGGGTCCAGTGAGTCTGTGGTCAACAGCAAGAGGTGTGCGCTGTACTGTGGAGTGCTGAAGCCCGAACCGCTGAAGGACCTGCTGCACCATGTGTGACTGTGAAAGTGTAATGGTGCGAGCAGCTCTGTCCCTGGTGATCTGCAGGCCAAGGTAGTGGCGCAGCTCACCAAGATCAGTGCAGGTGTGTCTCTTCTGCAGTTCGGACTTCACGTGTGCCAAAGCAACCCTGTCAGGGGTGGCGAAAACAAGGTCGTCAACGTAGACCAGAACAAAGAAAGGTGTGGGGCCACGACGAACGAACAGCGACGGGTCAGCAGAAGACGGCTGGAACCCAAGGTCAGACAGGGTAGAACGCAGGGTGTCGTGCCACTCACGAGGAGCCTGACGAAGACCGTAAACCGGTCGCCTCAGCCTCCACTGGGTCCCAGGAGGGAAAGAGCCAGTGAAGGCAGA